TAGTCGAGTTCAGTGTCAAATTCGAGTCCATTCAGTAAACATGTTTATGGTAATGCAAGATAATGGAGATATATTGCACATAGTACCTCGTCTTGATCGAATATGCGATTCACCGGCTACTTCTAATAAACTATCATAAGCCGCCAAACTTCACCCAGCGGTTCCATTACATTTGAACCCACGTACATTTGAACCCATGACAATTGCACCTGTATGCTATTGCACCTATGGGATTTTTTTTGTTTCACGGATAGTTAAACCCATACTAACCCTAACCCATGGGTTTTAGCACCCGCATATAGATTGAACCCGTGGATATACGCATGGGTTCAAATGTACATGGGTTCAAATGTACGGTCACCTCACCCAGCACCTAACTGAATAGGTTGCGAAAACTATTTTAAAGCATATAATTCTTTTCTTACGATTTCAACTTCGATGTTTTCACAATCACTGCGATTGTCGTCAGATTTGACACTATTCCAAATACCGTCATGATTCCCACGAATACAGAACAAATAACTGCATCTGACCAAGAGAAGTTACCCATTTTCCATACATCTCTGAAAAATAAAGGCTGTCTTTGAAATTATAAAGTAACGGGACGAATAAATTTTGAAATTTAGAGGATTTTTCAAACGACACATCTAAATAAACATGATCATCAATATCCAAATTGATTTGCAAGTCAATAAATCACAGAGGACGTTTGTCTTGTGCTAATGGAGTAATTTCATGTCAGTACTATATAAGGAAATAAGTATATGTAAAATATATAACTACTATACCTTTCCAACGTTGTTGTTTCAACAGTTGATGAATAATTAATTAATGACATCGAGCTGTTTTCCATTCTAATATCCACAATATATAGGGGTTGACAAAATGGATTAAACGTGCCCATTCACTGTAAAATGCAATAACTTTAGTTTGTTTAATAGCAGTGAATAGACTTGGAGTATCGTATCGTAAATCAACCTATTCCAGTATGGACAAATATTCTGAATGCTTATTTAATTGTCACAATGGTAAACTTAAGTTTAATAAAACTTGAGACATCGTACCATATGAATGGCACCTTGTCAAATTAATTTATTCGTCACTTTCGACAATAAAATAAATAAATAGCACGCCGCTGCGAGTATCGTAAAATTTTGTTCGGACGGCATTTCGCTTATGTAGACGTTGATGAAAAACTGCAAAAAAGATCAGTAATCTCACTTATTGTTGAATACCTCAAGCAACATCAAGACAATTCAAGATTGACTGTATTTGGTATTTTGAAACGAAATTTAAGTTTATATATTTTTCAACAATGTAGTTAAGTGATAATCGATAAACTAACAAGATTGATTTGATGTATAAATGCTAATTTGCAAACCAATATAGAAATGAATATTTTCAATATATAATTATTGGTTCATCAGTAATAATAGGAAGATTTGTCGTACTTATTTAGTCTTATAGCTGATCATTTAGACTATTACCGATTCCATATAGGATAAATAACTAGTTTACCCTTACTCTTACATTAGCAAACTGGCGATTAATGAGTTGATTAATGTACAAAAAATGTTAGTAATGCCGAAAAATAAATAACTATAATTATGGCGCACTATGGAATTATCAGTACTTACCCACCCTCGATTAGTTTTACCGAGCAATCGATTGAGTGTATTTCGACATATTCTACGGGACAAGTTACTAAATTGCCAATAAATATATATTTAATAAACCCGCTGGTTTAAAACCCAACCCAATGAAACAGAAAACCTGATTAACATTGTTAATTAGTGATATATAATAATACATGAGCGATTGAACCCATGTCATTCAAAAGTAATTGGTAGTTGAAACTACTGCGTTTATTTACTCTTTAATTAATTAAATGTGCGCAGGCAATGAATGTTTCCTCGATCTTGAGATCTCAAAAACACTTTCCCTTTTTTCACTATTAATAAGTTTTCAATACTTATTTTAAAAGTATTTCCCCAACAAGGAAATCGACGTATAAGGCAATATGCATCTTGTCAAGTCATAACAAAAAAATCGCATTTTACTAAGATTTCTTTTTAGCTGTTATGCACATGAAGAGAATAACATAATATGCAAACAGAAGTTCAACAATTAGCTATTGTAAAGTGCTTACAGGCACATTTCAGCGTATAGAAACTGTCATTTGAACTGTTTCTGATCTAGAAAACTAATGTTCATTAATGTTGAAAAACTTCATCACCAAAAACGCTCATTCACCAGATCATCTAAATTAGATTTTATTGCAAAAGCCCTGAACTAAAGAACGAACGACTTATTGGACACGATGTTTTGTTATTACGTTGTTGTTCTTGTTTGTCTTGTTGTTAATATTGTCCTCCTGAACTAATTTGAAGGCAGAGGGGTTCCTGAGGATACATGCCCCCCCCCCCCCAACATTCTTTTATTGCAATTTTGCGGCATTTGCAATGAGACATCAATTCTTGCGCCTTTTCCAACACCATTTTACTCTATTCTTGAAACGATTTACTGAAAACTGACCTTTTTGCTGGCTTGTTAACAATAATCCTCTCACCAAATGAACCATGCGCGCTTGTATACCTTGGATAACTTCGGCAGCAAAGTAAGTCTGTAGAGAGATTTTTCAAGATATCAGTGGCTGTCAAAAATTTATCAAGTAAGATTGAAATGTGTCGATTGCTTTAGCAAAGTCCGAAAAAAGTTCTCTAAGCCTAGGCATTGCTAGTTGGACACGAAATCGACCTATGGATCGTTTTGTTATTGTGTTGTTGTTCTAGGTGTTTTCTTCCGTATTTTATTGTATGACAATTATCTTATCAACTATTCGCTAAAAAGATATTATTTTTGTTTATTCCAGAGGTTTCTGTGCGATCTGCAAAATTAATTTTTCACTTTGAATTATGTTCTGTTGGATCTTTATATAAATTATTTATAGCGACTTTTGACCTCTTTCGCTAAAATCGGAAGTTTTTTGACGATACCGGTTACTGCAAATCGTTTTGGTCTTTGTGTCCATATATATTTGAGCACCGCTCTCTTGTTCAGTACAATGACTATTTCTAACACCAAACTGGGACAGACTTGAACACCTTTTTTTTTTTCAGAAAAAGAGATTGGATTATATATATATAGATTATTCTCATACATTTTGGCAACTTGTCTTGTGACAGTAGAGAAATAAGCCTATACTAATTTGGATCATATTTAGACCCCTGCCCATGCAGTGGCACCACGTTTGCTATTTTAAAAATCCAGCGGTACACACTTTCATAGAAACTTTGGTAAAACATTTTAGACAAAATAGATGACAAAACAAGTTTGGCAATTTTGAAACTTTTTTCCTAGGTATATTATCGCTACCTACAACCTTTTTCGCATACATTTATCAATTTGTTGTTATATTTCCAGGGGAATGGTATTAGACCATTTGGTGACACCCGGATTTGTAATTAAAATTATTTTTTAAACATATTTTCACTACAGTAAGGGCAAACAAGGCTATGCATCATATATATAAAATAAAATAAATATTTATTTCTTTGTTTCCTAATTATTGAATTCAAAACCGCATGGAACCAGTAATATGCCATGAACCGTGATTTCCAAGCGGTTGGTACGAAAATGAGAGCAATACACGCCCCGAAAAACAATATGGTGGTATTAGGAATAAATGCTCGCAGGAATGTTTTTTCAGTTCTATAAGAAACCATTAATTAAACAACAACCACAGAAATTCTGTTTATTTTGATCAAATCCGTTACAGATTTTTCTGTGGCAGGGTAATTAACTTTTTGAGGAGTTGCATTTTTACTTCATTCGTCCCTTTTTATGGGCGTTATAAGATGCAAAACTAATTGTGTATCAGTCAGACAATTTCCTACATTAAGTATGCAACAATATTATAAAAGGAATTGGAATTTAAAATTACATATCTTTTAATTTTATTGACAATTTGATAATGCTTCCAATGCTAATCGATACGCACTATAGACTAGGGTTGCCATACCATCCGGAAAATTCCGGACATGTCCGGAATTTAGGGTTGAATTTTGCGTCCGGAAAGAATTTTAAAAAATGCTCAAATGTCCGGAATTTTACTGCATCTGCAATCGTTCTGTGAACACTGCTAATGCAGAACATTGTTTAATAATATCCTTCATTACTACAAGAGGAAAATGCGTGCCCATTGAAAATAGATACCAATTGAAACGTTTATTTTTCCTGATCTTGCGTTGTTTTGATTGTGACGCAACAATGTGTAATTCACGGCTTTATAGGCTAACTGTGCAATCTCTAAAGACAGCGTACTGCGAGCATTGGGGAAATAGATTATGGTTATTGGAACTAGGGGGACTTTTTAAGAATTCATTAGATGGGTAGGCGACAAGGGCAATAATATCAACACGAAGATTTAATTTAGTTACATAAGGTCAATGAATTGTTGTTGCAACAAATTGATAGTCAATATATCATAACTTTGTTCGGTGTCTGATTACCGGAGGTTCGCGTTGACAGAAAAAAATTGACAGGAAAAAGGTTGAGAACCCCTGACTTGGAACTTTCTTGAACCGTTGTGCTGAATATGAATTGGTTAGATATAGAATACATGCTGCGAAAGTTACTAGAACATTCCATCTATAAAAGCAGGCGATTTCCCACATTTATCAGAGATTAACTTATAATGTCATAGAGGAGGAAGCCTAGTGAATTTTTGATACAGAATTTTTGACTGCTGACTGGGCTGCGTTTATTGCATGGATTATACTGAGTAGCTTTGCTAAGTATTGTTGATTGACTGGCTTAGCCTGGATTGACGGACTGATATCTTATTTGGTCGTTACTTGCCACAGTTATCTACCGTTTATTTATGATTATTATCATCTGACTCTTTAGTCGTTTCGTTGAGCAGCTGCAAGTGTATTTGATAGCAACTAGTGCTAGTTCCTCATTAAGTTAGCTGAATACAAAAGTTTCATACCACAAAGCTTTACTTGTGGAATTCGGGATCGAAAGTGATAGTCCCTATAGCCTTTTGGTTCAGTTAGTCTGATGGTAAATTACTTTGTTTTTTAGATTATGTATTTTTAGTTGGGTTGTATTTATTGTAAGAAGATATTATTTCAAATGGCTAATTTTAAAAGAAAGTGCACATTCACTAACGAGATGCAAGAAAAACATCCATGTTTTAGAAAAGGCAGGAATGATTATGAGGCAGAATGCTTGGTTTGCAAATCAGGAACTTATATATCTATCGTGCACAAAGGTAATGGTGATTTAACCACACATCTGCAATCGGAAAAACATCGCAAAGCAGTAAGAGGGGCTGTTGCATCAACGAAAATGACAAATTATTTTGCTACAGCAGGAAGCAAATGCGAAGATGAAATCACTGCCGCAGAAGGTACGCTTGCATTTCACGCTGTTAAGCATCATCATAGCTTTTTGTCCATGGACTGTACATCTGCTTTATTTAAAAAGATTTTCCCTGATTCTAATGTAGCGAAGAAGTTCAGTAGCGGCCGCACAAAGACAGAAAAAGTTGTTACTAGCGTTCTTGCGCAATATTCTATTGATGCTGTTCTGAAAAGTTTTGAAGAAAACGATATCGCGTATTTTGGCGTTGCAACAGATGGCAGCAATCACAATGAACTGAAATTATTTCCTACAATTATTCAATATTTTGACTAGAGGAATGGTGGTTTGCAATCAAAATTGATTGAGTTTACAAACAAGGCGAACGAGACTGCCGACACAATTGCCACTTATATAAAAGACACTTTAGAAAAAATGATGCTTTTGAAAAAATGTGTGTCATTTACAGGAGACAACTGCAATACTATGTTTGGAGGACTTCGGCGTAATGACCAAGGAAACAATGTGTTTGCAAAGTTAAAGAAAATGTTAAACCCGTCATTGATTGGGGTTGGCTGCCCAGCACACGTTTTGAACAATTGTATTCATCATGGCGCTGAAAGAATGAACATCGATATTGAAAATAATATCAATAAGATATATCAATATTTTTCTATTTACACAGTTAGAACTGAGAAACTGAAAGAATACTGTGAATTTGCAAATTGTGAATACAAGAGACTTCTCTCTCATAGCAAGACTCGCTGGCTCTCCTTGTTTCCTGGAATTTCAAGATTGTTAGAAATGTTTTCACCCCTGAAGTCCTACTTTTTGTCACAAGAACATCCACCAATAGTTATTAAACGGTTCTTTGAGAATGAAATAAGCGAGTTATACTTTTGGCATATGCACTCACTGATGTCCGTGTTTCATGGACGTATTCAAGTGGTTGAGAGAGGAAACAATTCCGTCGCAGAAGTGCTAGAAAATTTGGAGCTGGTTCATAAGGTGCTAGTGGAAAGGAAGAATGAAAGCTTTATGTCCTTGACAGTTAAAAGGCTTTTAAATGAAAAAAGAGAAGAGGGATATGAAGATGAATGTAACAATTTTCTTTCCGAAGTTGCAAACCTCTATGAGAGATGCCTGGAGTACCTGTGTAAATGGATGAAACCAATGGAAGAGTTTACTTGTTTCAAATGGATGACTTTGAACGAGATACCAAGTTGGAAGGATGTAGAGCCTTGCCTGGAATATCTGATTGGCAAAGGGGTCGATGTGGACGATGCAAAGTGCTTTGACCAAATCTGTAACTTGAGGCAGTTTGTGGAAAGTTACGTACAAGACGAAGAATTTATTAAACTGCCAACGCATAAGAAATGGTGCAAATATTTCGATCATTCTACGAACATCACATGCCACTCAGAAATTTTAGGGATTGTACAGTTTTTCTTTGCTGGTACATCCCACAATGCCAATGTAGAGAGAGTCTTTTCCCTGATGCAAAGTCAGTGGACTAAAGAGAGAAACAAGCTGAGCGTTGCGACCATGAAAGGCATATTGACTGTTCAATATAATTTCAAAAATATGCGCTGTAGTGAATTTTTTTCATTTTTAAAATCAGACAAGGCCCTATTGAGGAGAATTAGATCTTCAGAAAAATATGCATGGTCAGAAGAGTGAATTTGTAGTGACTTGACTTACAAGCGTGTCTTCAATTCGTTTTCCCTGTTCGGCACAACCTAATTGTCATTATTATTTGAGATTAAAGTTGAGATTTTTTTCAATGACGGTCCGTAGCTATATTTAGGGCAACGGTGCACAACCTGCTCCCCCTTCCCGACTTTCGATTTTTTTTTATTGTGCAACCATTATGCAACTTGCTGCAATATATCTGCTCAAGAATAGTTCCACCGAAAAGAAAAATCCGTTTGAAATACGAATATTATACTTCCAACCAAATAGTCCTACATACTTTATAATTGGGCAGACTGCACCTCGCATGGGTCAAATATGCGGTTATGACGTCATAAAAGCCAAAAAAATTCGTCTATATAAAATTATAACGTCTCATAAAAATATGTAAAAAAATATGTCCGGAATTTGACTCTTCCGAATATGGTAACCCTACTATAGACTAATCACTTTGTAATATCATTAGATGAACATGAAAGTTGCTTAAATGAAGCTATGATTTTCTCTCTGGGCTCCCTTCCGTAATCTACCATAATCACCGAGAGACATGTATTATTTAATCGCGGTTGGACTGTAAGGAAGTCCGTGCCTTGCGTTCATATATTTTTTTATTGTGCTCTTGTATCGGTTGAAAATTTTGTAACTGAGGCAGCTAATGTTATGACGAAAATGCAATATAACTTCCACCATTTGGCATTACCAAGGTAGCATATACACACTGCATGTTATGTCATTCTGCCTTTGACGTACCATGCTAATTTAACAGACCACCAGATGAGAATAGAGATAATGATGTTATCCGGTTATCCAGATGAGATAACTGCCATCAGTTAATCGTTGCGCGAACTACTCAGTGATAATGGATAATCCAGCTATATCGTGCACACAGCCATCCCTGAACTACGCAGAAAATACGATAAAACAATCGCATATTTAATAAAAACCGACGAGGTTAGCCCAATAACTAGTCGACAACTACGAATACAAGATTATATCGTCACGCCAATAACCGAATTACGTAAGTCATTTTTAGCAGTTTTGAGAAAAACGTTAAAAACTTCCTAATGATTTTGTTATGCAATTGAGAGTCAATAATTTGCCATGGTTCAATTTTTTGATCGTAGCCGGATTTAAGTTAATTTGTATGACGCAGTTGGGTGACGTCATAATGGCGCACTGTGACTTGGTGGCAGTGTGACCTGGCGCAGAAATGTGTCTATGACTTGGGGACATACGCAATTTTGCAACTTCACTATATGCACCAGTCCTGAAAACTAAACATTCCAAAAACGAATGTAATTCTCAGTATCTACAATGTCTAATCCCCAAAATAGCTAATCAGTTTCAATTACATTATTTTTTATGTTTAAAAATATATATTTCATCAATATAACACGTTCTGCACACCCACCGAAATAAGACTAAGATTAAATATAAATAATAAAACAGCAACGCACCCAATATAAAAGCCAACCAAGGTAAATTGGACTCGGACAGTGAATATCACAAGTGCACGTCTTCCTATACTGTAGTAAAAATTCAAATTAATACGCGCTAAGCTAGAATCCGAGATGCAAAAACTCGAAAATACTTCGCCGAGGTTATTTTGCCTTTGTGACGTCACAATAGTCCCGCGGTAACAATGATCATTCATTATGATGAAACAATTGCACAAATGTGCATGTCATACTAAATCTCCATTTTTATGGGTTTCGGAATTCCTAAAATAAAATCTGAGTTAACAGACAGGTGCGCAGCATTACATAAATACCTATTTTATAAAAAAAACTCAAAATCGCCCAAAATGACTTACGCAATTCGGTTATTAGCGTGACGATATATACATTACTGAAACATGCCGAACACTTTTCTATGAAAGTCGCAACTCTCATCAATTCATGGAAGCTTTCATAAAAAAATATTTCTTTAAATGATTCTGGTTACCAACTGTAAATCTTCACTAATCTTCAATATCTCAATTTATATCATAACGATACATTATTTATGTAGTGTTGTAATAAATATCGTATAGCAGAAAAACTTCAACCAAAAGTCAAATATAACAATATACAATGTCTTACCAACTGTAAATTTACCATTCTTCAATATCTCAATTCAAATCATAGCAATACATAATTTATGCAAATAAAAATAAAACTTAATAACCAAATATGAAATATATATAACAATATACAATGTTTCTGATAAGTATATAATAATGAAAAATTACATTTGTACAACTAAGTTTCAGTCTTTCCTCTGTCCAACATGAAATTTCTGTTTCCATCTGATTATACGCTTACATTGGTATGTTGGTTCTTTTTTTGCATTTCACTCGATTTAGTCGAAGAAGCGTACACTACCTTCTCGAAGCCGAGAAATTGTTTGGTAGCTTCTCTCAGCTGACTGAATATAATTGTAAACAAAGGATATTAGAAATCAGTTATTACATCATGCTTTATTGAATAAATAATAAGTGATACTAGAAAAAAACTAACCTAGATCCTAGGTTGTAAAATATAGGATTCAGACATTCTGTGGATCTCTGAACAAGATGAGATAACATACTGAGTAACCAAGCACTTCTTCCGCCGAATTTAATACCCAGTGATTTGATCATTACCGAAATTCTGAATCCTGCAAAAGTAGATCAGCTGTCATAGACATTGCAAGATACACAATCTGGCGGAAATGTATGAATGATATGCTGCTTTGTCATTATACACAAGCTAGTCAAAGTAACGCATCTGATACCACCAAAGAGTAGCCACAACTATAGGTAAAAGGATAGGATTTATATCCCGGGGGAGAGGATAGTCGTGAGAACGACTTAATCATATGGCGAACCACGGCCTCTCGTCCAGTTACAAGTCCATGTCGGGTATGGGATCAGTTAGACAGTTATTTTGTTTTCAGATGCATGGACTTGATGGTGGAGGAAGCCGTAATCGACTATCGATGACGTGAACCACTATACGGCGGCAAGTAGTCCAGCAATCCTCTCGCACATGATTATCCCCCACGATATTCGAACCTGCAAACCCACGCAGGGTAATTAGCGGTGCTGTGGCGAGGGAGAGGAATTCGCCACACCACCGAGTTGATAGCATAGGCACGAAACCATACCATCGATTACACGCAATCTTGGGTCCGATTTGTACATCGAATGTCTTAGGACAATCCGATATGTGTCTTCAGCCTTTTTTAATTGAACCTGAGATCCTATGGTGTGCGTACATGTGACAGTTTAATTTTGATCTCCAATTTATTTTGATCACCAATGTATCTTGAATGTGCCTAATTGTTGGCGACAAAAATAAATTCTCATTTATGTCAAAATAGGATTTTTGTGTTTATTTGTATTTGATTAGTAATTGCAATTTGATAGTTCATTTGATTGCAATATTTGATTTTCATATGATATCTCATATACATTGTTAAATTGTTTCTATAGCAAATATCAACAAAGGCAACTTTTACTTTTGGAAGCCATCCTATAGTTACAACACGGGGAAGAACAGTGAGTAAAAATAATAAATGGTGAATAAAAATATATACCAAAATCCGGTAAATATCCAATTAAGAACGAAGTTACGATTAACGATAGTTGAATCAATGCAGCATTCTCTTTGCTGACGTCAGAATTATCATTTTTTTCTGAAATATATGAAAATAATTTTGTTGCGACTCTGTTATATTACCCAGTATCCATTTTTACGCTTCTTCTTACCTTGTTGTTTCTTGTTTCGACGAATTATCAACAGTCTAATGAGAAGAAGCGTAGATGTGACGATGAGAACCATTGGAATGTACAAGAAGATAATCTGTCTTACGTATGAAACTTTTCTTACGATGAACCATCTTCAAAAAATAATTTACACATTAGATGAGCTAGTAACTTGATAACTAATATCCATACACTTCTCGAAAACTCATTTCAACAAAAAGTAGTTTTCAAACATTACACTGGTAATTTGTATTGGAAATTGTAACTTACATAGACTTATCAGTAACGCACGCTGAACGCGTGAAACTCCCTGCTTCCGTGTCATGTACTCCTAAGAACCACATCGGGAAGCAACTATTTCCGATAAAGGTTACAATCCATATTACAGTGATCAGAATCTGAAGTAAGAAGTTTTTTATTAGATTATTTATTAGCCTTTCATTAACTCATTTACTAAAATAAAAAATAAAAACACAACAAAACTATAGAAACAAACCTTTGCCCTTCGAAGGGTGAAATCTTTTAAACGATGGGGATAACTGATAGCACCGAGTCGAATCAGCATGAAGGCCAGAATATGTTGAATTGTAGAAGTATTTGTCCAACTGTTTATTGGTAAAGTAACCTAAAAACAACTTCGCTCATAACACAATTCGCGTGACTTTAGGTCCAGATCGCAAAAAATCAACGAAAGTAGTACTATACAATATGCCCGATTGACTTGAAATGATTGTCATATCATAATTACCATGATAATTTTAGCGCATATGGATATATTGTATTAATTGATTCTCGATTGTAAAAAAACAGGTACTTCAAAGATAAACGTGATATCTATGAAAATAGTCCTATAGGAGTAATATTTCACGGGTTGCGACCCGATCGGTAGAATGACCGAGGCTTGTAACACTTATCAATACAAAACATCACAAAAACTATTCATTTCAGGAGTACTTTTTGAGGTAAAATTTAGATAAATTTTGACCTATGTCTGTTTCAAAGAACCGCGCACCAGAGAAATTTTATTAAATTTAAATTGAGACCTTGCAAAAGAATTCTGGCAACTGGTATCTGTAGTATCCAAATGTCTTCCAATAAAGCATGAGAGGACTGTTGCAGGATGCGATGATGTCAGAGACGCACAAGCTGGCTATTAATGCGTTGAATGGCAATCTGGAGTAAATATAAAATATAATATGAAGCGAGATTTTGGTTGATTATTTGAAATTGTAAATCTGAACAAGAATGCCTATTCCAGTAAACTGATATCCAGTTCATCATCTATAATAGACCTAGAGTCTAGATCTTGACTGTAGAGAGAATGATATTGGCCCTCGAGGGCGTACCTATGAGGTCTCCTTGACTGTGTAGGTTTTTGTTAAGAAAAAAAAAGCTAGCATACAAAAATATCTAATTTATTTTGGAAAGAGGGTAAGTTTGAACTTTGAAATTGATGCTGATGGACAAATGAAGTAGTCGAGTTCAGTGTCAAATTCAAGTCCTCATGGTAATGAAAGATATATTGCACATAGAATCTCGTCATGATCGATAATGCGATTCACCGACTACTTCTAATAAACTATCATAAGCCGCCAAACTTCCTACAGGGGTGGTGACTCCACTACGACCCATGGGCCGGGGCCACGGCCCATCTAATTGGGCCACACGGGCCGTGGCCCATCAAGCTATGGGCCGCGGCCCCGTCAGTAAAAATTCAATTATCTTACCAAAATTTTCAATTTTTACAAAATTGTCAATATTCGAACCGAAAAAATATTGTTATGAGTTTGGGGACTGTCTGTGTTAGCCAAGTGAATAGTTCCTTTACACAACTTGATGGGCCGCGGCCCATAGCCTGATGGGCCTAGGCCCAATTTGATGGGCCGTGGCCCCGGCCCATGGGCCGAAGAGGAGTCACCACTTCCACTCCAAACTTCACCCCGCACCTAAATGAATAGGTTGCGAAAACTATTTTAAAGAGTATAATTCTTTTTCTCACGATTTCAACTTCGGTGTTTTTACAATCACTACGATTGTCGTCAGATTTGCCACTAGTCCAAATACCGTCATGATGCCAACGAATACAGAACAAATAACTGCATCTGACCAAGAGAAAATACCCATTTTCCATACATCTCTGAAAAATAAAGGCTGTCTTTGAAATTATAAAGTAACGGGACGAATAAATTTTGAAATTCAGAGGATTTTTGAAACGACACATCTAAATAAACATGATCATCAATATCCAAATTGATTTGCAAGGCAATAAATCACAGTGGACGTTTGTCTTGTGCTAATGGAGCAATTTCATGTCAGTACCATAATAAGGAAATAAGTATATGTAAAATATATAACTACTATACCTTTCCAACGTTGTTGTTTCAACAGTTGATGAATAATTAATAAATGACATCGAGCTGTTTTCCATTCTAATATCCACAATATATAGGGGTTAACAAAATGGATTAAACGTGCCCATTCACTGTAAAATGCAATAACTTTAGTTTGGATAATAGCAGTGAATAAACTTGGAGTATCGTATCGTAAATCAACCTATTCCAGTAACTAATTCAACAACTATTCTGAATGCTTATTTAATTATCACAATGGTAAACTCAAGTTCAAAAAAACTTGAGACATCATACCATATGAGCGGCATCTTGTCAAATTAATTTATTCGTCACTTTCGACAATAAAATAAATAAATAAATAGCACGCCGCTGCGAGTATCGTAAAATTTTGTTCGGACGGCATTTCGTAGATGCTTATGTAGACGTTGATGAAAAACTGCAAAAAAGATCAGTAATCTTACTTATTGTTGAATACTTCAAGCAAAACATCAAGACAATTCAAGTTTGACTGTATTTGGTATTTTGAAACGAAAGTTAAGTTTATATATTTTTCAACAATGTAGTTAAGTGATAATCGATAAACTAACAAGATTGATTTGATGCATATATAAATGCTAATTTGCAAACCAATATAGAAATGAATATTTCAATATATAATTATTGGTTATCAGTAATAATAGGAAGATTTGCCGTACTTATTAGTCTTTTAGCTGATCATTTAGACTATTACCGATTCCATTTAGGATAAATAACAAGTTTACCTTTACTCTAACATTAGCAAACTGGCGATTATTGAGTTGATCAATGTACAAAAAATATTAGTTATGCCGAAAAATAAATAACTATAATTATGGCGCACTATTGAATCATCAGTCCTACTTACCCACCCCTCGATAATTTTTACCGAGCAATCGATTGAGTGTATTTCGACATATTCTACGGGACAAGTTACTAAATTGCCAATAAATATATATTTAATAAACCTGCTGGTTTAAAACCCAACCCAATGAAACAGAAAACCTGATTAACATCGTTAATTAGTGATATATAATAATACATGAGCAATTGAACCCATGTCATTCAAAAGTAATTGGTAGTTGAAACTACTGCGTTTATTTACTCTTTAATTAATTAAATGTGCGCAAGCAATGAATGTTTCCTCGATTCTGAGATCTCGGAAACACTTTCCCTTTTTTCACTATTAAGAAGTTTTCAATACTTATTTTAAGAGTATTTCCCCAACAAGGAAATCGACGTATAGGGCAATATGCATCTTGTCAAGTCATAGCGATGTGTAACAAAAAAAAATCGCATTTTACTAAGATTTCTTTTAGCCTGCACATGAAGAGAATAAAATAACATAATATGCAAACAGAAGTTCAACAATTAGCCATTGTAAAGTGCTTACAGGCACATTCCAGCGTATAGAAATTGTCATTTGAACTGTTTCTGATCTAGAAAACTAATGTTCATTAATGTTGAAAAACTTCATCACCAAAAACGCTCATTCACCAGATCATCAGAGAGGGGTGTATGCCGCACATCTGTGTTTTAGGCCAATATGGTCTTGTGTCTTCAGTACTTACAATTACTTACTCTTTTATATTGCTTTTACGAGACGAATAAACATACATACATACATACATCTCAATTAGATTTTATTGCAAAAGCCCTGAACTAAAGAACGAATGACTTATTGGACACGGTGTTTTGTTATTACGTTGTTGTTCTTGATTGTCTTGTTGTTAATATTGTCCTTCTGAACTAATTTGAGGGCAGAGGGGTTCCTGAGGATACATGCCCCCCCCCCCCTGTCAAAAATTCATCAAGTAGGATTGAAATGTGTCGATTGCTTTAGCAAGATCCGAAAAAATTTCCCTAATCCTAGGCATTGCTAGTTGGACACGAAATCGACCTAGGATCGTTTTGTTATTGTGTTGTTGTTCTGGGTATTTTCTTCCGTATTTTGCTCTATGACAATTATCTTATTAACTATTCGCTAAAAAGATATTATTTTTGTTTATTCCAGAGGTTTCTGTGCGATCTGCAAAATTAATTTTTCACTTTGAATTATGTTCTCTTGGATCTTTATATAAATTATTTATAGCGATTTTTTGACCTCTTTCGCTAAAATCGGAAGTTTTTTGACGATACCGGTTACTGCAAATCGTTTTGGTCTTCGTGTCCATATGCTCTCTTGTTCAGTAGAATGATTATTTCTAACACCAAACTGGGACAGACTTGAACACCTGACAGTAGAGAAATAAGCGTATACTAATTAGACCCCTGCTTATGCAATGGCACCACGTTTGCTAATCCAGCGGTACACACTTTCATAGAAACTTTGGTAAAACATTTTAGACAATATAGATGACAAAACAAGTTTGGCAATTTTGAAACTTTTTTCCTAGGTATATTATCGCTACCTACAACCTTTTTCGCATACATTTATCAATTTGTTGTTATATTTCCAGGGGAATGGTATTAGACCATTTGGTGTTGGCCCAAGACTTTAAATGTGGACTGTTGCAGCTGAACTTTTTGTGAAGTATGTTTAGGACCGACTTTCAAGAAATGTTGGTTGAGAGGCTACAGGTTGCATTGCTGTCATTAATTTATTGGTATTTACTATAAGATGAGACTGTAGTTTGCTTTGGTAACACGAATTCGAATTTTAGAAATAATATCTTCTTGGTACCTAGGAAAGACGGTTTTGTAATAATCTTTTGTAAGAGTCCAAGATATTTGTTCCGATACTTTTTGCATTCTCTTAATTAATTGGAATCTGCTTTGGCAACATTTACTGTACATTTTATCTTCGGTTTTAATCGATTTGTAAAGATCCTTGAAATTCCATGACGTTAGCTTCAGTATACTATTATTTGAATTAGTTATAGAGGGAATATGCTGGTCAACCAAAGATTTGATTGCATTTATACCTGTGTTGAATTTTTAGTTTATATCGCTGGATATTGTGTCATCTTTATCAACTACAAAGCTTAAGTGATCTCTAAAATTGTCAGAATTAAAAATACTATAATCACTCTCTGTGTTCTGATTTGGGATATCTTGCATTTGAGGTGAAGATGAGCCAAGACTCTAGGAGGGGAAAAGGGTCTGAAATGTCCTATTTGATAACACTATTATTTGTTTTATATTCTAACTAAAAATCTAAGTTATTGAAATAAAAATGATCTAATAAAGTTGGAACGTGAATTCCAATCCACTCAACGTTGTTGTAGTGGAGTCCTATTTGCACCCGCCTTGAAGAATTATGCGCGATCTCTCAGGTCCTAGTAACTGCCCAACCAAAGTAGTAAAGAGGCAACGAGATCCTCAGAAAACGAACTGTATTCATCAACAATCTCCACATATGAGTAAAATGTTGCTACAGCACAGAAACTTGAAGACAGACGATAAAACTAATTTATATTGACACGGATGCACTATTATAAATATATAAATAGGCAATGAAAGAATGATGAAATAACATTCACAATAACAAGCTATAATAGCCAATACTAAATAGGACCTAACTAAGCTAACTTATTACTTAATATGACAGATTTCACGAAGCCCACACACCTAATGTAAACTATATCCAAGGCAAATCTCAGTATTAAACGACACTTTCGCAATTCCACAGTGCCGTATGTATAAAACAAAGAATCAGATGAGAGTCATCTCAAAACCCCGGGAAAAGTTTCGCTCCCTAAGTCTTCACTATGGCGCAATAATGAGTCACTGTCAACAGGAAATTAATATAATAAAGAGAGAACATAATTCGCCTGGGATATAATATGGAAATATAAATGGGAAAAAGTGCGAGGCGTTCGAGGTCAAATCTAACCAAAGTAGCTGTTGAATAAGTAACCTGTGTGGGTTTATTCATACCACATAAAAACAAAAGAATAGATACTACCGACATATTTGGTTACATTTTATAATCAATTTGATATCTCATCACATCAATATTGAAGTCACAAACAAACATCACTGGGGGTTATTGAATTCAGAGATTTATCATTATTCGCTATTTGATTAAGTTTGCAGATATAGCTTTATGAACTTATATTAATGGAGTACCTACTATAGTCTATAATATCTTCTCTGCAATGAATAATTGAAACGTCTGAGTAAACCTACCAACTTGAACTCAAAACATCAGTTACGACCTGTGGTTTAGGATCTGGAAAGATGTCAACTTCAAAATCTTGTGATGTTCCTCCAGACCCTCCAAAACGCAAAAGCCCCACCGATCGACAAGCTGGTAGTACTTTTACAGTGCCAAAATTGTCGGAGAGTAAAATCTCTGATTTGGTTACAGTGCTTGAAAGCACAATATTAAAAACATTGCGTTTAGAAATACCAGCAATCATTGAACAACATCTGGAAAGACTTGCTCAAGATGTCTCTTTAACCACTCCCACCAGTACTGGCATCCAGCAGTCCTTGTCATCACTGGATGAATCACTGAAGGAAGTGAAAACCCAGCTGTCCTCCTTCAGTATAATAAAAGATGAAGTGGGAGAGATTAAAGAAGCCAGGACTTCATTTCAAAAAAATTGATGACCTTAGTGCAAACTATAAGGATCTGAACAACACAACAGCAAAAATAACAAAAAATTCGCGAACTCGAACTTATCGTCGAAGATCTTGAAGAAGAAATAGATATCTTGACCGAACGCCAGCAAGATCAATGAGCGCAGATCTAGACTAGATAATCTAGAGTTTCACAACATCCCATACTCCACAGATGAAGACTGCGAAAACATAATCATGAAAGTAGCAGCTCGAATCAATGTATCACTTCAACCATCGACATATCGAACTGCCACAGGATGTCGAAAACAACAAGAAGAACCATCACCGATCATTGTAAAGTTTTCAACCGAAAAACCAGACATAATATTTTAAAAAATCGTCGTCAGCTAAGAACAGCCAACTTTTCGTACCGATTTTCCACAATTACCATCATCCACCAAAATTTTTGTTGTGGAAAATTTAACCGACACTAATAAAGACTTATTTTATAAAGCCAAAGATCTCAAAGTCATTTGTGGATATAAATTTTTATGGACGCACAATGGGAGGGTACTCATTAAAAAGAACTCAATGACAAAACCATCCCTATTGTCACTGAAGATGACCTTTCATTTATCAAGTAGGTTTTTTGATTTTATGTCTGGTCGTAATAATAATAATAATTCAGTTGTATGTCTATACAATTATTGATAGTTATATATGTATGACTTTCCTAGATCTGTATTTCCTTACAATTTTTTTTTCTCACCCTTTTAAATGGCTTGTGGTAGTGTTAGTAATAGTGAATTCCAATTAGATCATCTTGATAATTCTGTCACATGCAACAATGTGGAAGTTGCAAATTTATATTCAATTCAAACCCTGCCAAACTTAAGTATTTTTCATGTGAATATCAGATCCCTCATGAAAAATTTAGACGAATTGACCACGCTTCTATCCAATTTTTCTTCACCTCCACACATAATTGCAAATAAGTGAAACAAAATTATCTGATAACCATGATTTTAATATACCTATTGATGGGTACAGCTTCATACATGCGCCATCTGCCACTAAAGCAGGTGGTGTTGGTGCATTTATAAGAGATGATATCACCTACTCTGAAATTACAGAGCTTGACCTTAATAATTATTCTAACTGCGAAAATCTGTGGTTCGAAGTCAGTTTGGTGAACACTTGCAATAACCTAGTAATCGGCGTTATATATAAACATCCTCGCAATGATATTTTAAATTTTACTGATGCATTTGAAACATCTTTATCCAAAATGGCACATAAACACTTTTTGATTGTAGGGGATTTTAATATTAATTTATTTTCAACTTCTACTAATACCCAAGTTGCCAATTATGTTAACATGCTTATGTCGCATAATGCCACTTCTCTGATAACAAAGCCCACTAGAATAAGTCGTACTTCAGCAACGTTAATTGACCACATCTACACTAATATGAGCAATTCACAAATCAATTCTTATGTCATTCTGTCTGATATCACAGACCATTTTCCGATTATGTGTTGCCTGAATGGCATAAAACCAACATCTTCTAATAATTGTGTATTGTCAAGGGACATGTCGACATTCTCTCTGGACACTTTTCGTTCAGATATAATAGGCATTCTTAACAACCAATTCACCACACTTCAATTAAATTCACAAAACTTTGACAGTGTCTTTGACGAATTTGTACAATCATTTGTTTCTTTGATTGATCGACATGCCCCTTTACAACCACTTTCACGTCGTCAGAAAAGGATAAGACTAAAACCCTGGCTAACTAAAGGATTGATTACTTGTATTCGACGCAAAAATAAATTATTCAAATCTCATTTTTTGAGGGGTAACAGCTCTCAATGCTCGTACTTTAAAAATTATCGGAATGTTCTGACCAAGAACTGTAGATAGAGCAAAGCAAATTTATTACCAAAACCTTATTGCCCAAAACAGAGGCAACCCGAGATCGACATGGCAAATAGTTAACCAAATTACGCACACGCATAATAAATCAAGACAAAAAGTTAAGGAAATTTATCTGAAAAATGGCAGTATCACCAAAGATGACTTCTCGATATCAACTGAATTTAATGAGTACTTCTCAACCATAGGGTCCAGCCTCTCAGAAAAGTTTTCTAATGATTCGGGTAACTTCAAACAACTTCTTCATAATCCTCTGAGCCAGTCTATATTTATGAGTCCGACTACTTCTAATGAATTGTTGGTAGAAATTCAAAATTTGAAGGATAGGAAGGCAGTTGGGCCAGATAATATTCCAGCTCGCTTTCTTAAATTAGTTGCTGACCTCATCGCTCCATGTCTGACAGAGTTCTTCAATTGCTCACTCTCTCTCGGCATATTTCCTTCTTCTCTCAAAATTGCAAGAGTAATTCCTCTTCTAAAATCTGGAAATAAAAAACTTGTGTCAAATTATAGACCGATATCAATCCTTTCAACGATTGATAAAATTTTTGAACGCCTGATTCATAAGAGGCTTACTAGTTTTTTCAATAAATATGATGTCATAAATAAATCTCAATTCGGTTTTCAAAACAGTCATTCCACATCGCATGCTATTTTAGACACTACATCATTTATCTATGATAGACTAGAAAAGAAAGAGTATGTTAGTGCAACTTTTTTAGACTTAAAAAAAGCTTTCGATACTGTAAATCATGACATCCTGATTTACAAGTTGAAACATTATGGTATTAGGGGTATAGCAAATAAACTCATTTCTAGTTACTTAAGCGGTCGATCACAGTATGTTCAAGTAGGTTCTTATTGTTCTCCTCCCTTACCAGTGACTCATGGAGTTCCACAAGGTAGCTGTTTGGGTCCATTGTTATTTTTAGTATATGTTAATGACATAACTCATTGTTCTTCATTATTCTCGAAATTATTTGCAGATGATACCAATCTCCTTGACAGTGACAAATCCTGTGCAGCCCTTGAATTAAGGGTAAACACTGAAATTGCTAAAGTAGCAAACTGGATGCGATCAAACAAATTAACAATAAACATAAATAAATCTAAAACTATGTTAATATCACCTAAAAGTAAAGCACAAAATGGTTTAGTAGTCCAAATTGATGACACAGAACTTGAAAATGTAAATTTTTATAAATATCTGGGTATTCATATTGATAACAAAATGAAGTGGGACATTCAAATATCCAAACTGGCTGTTAAACTATCCAAGTCAGTTGGGATACTATATAGACTTCGGCGATTTGCTTCACTCACAACTTTACGTATGGTCTACCACTCCTTATTTCAGTCACACATTCAATATGGCATTGTTGCATGGGGCTTGGCTGATAAAAATTTATTACGTAATATTGAAATTATGCAGAATCGAGCAATTCGCGCTATCTCCAATGTCGGTTATCGCACTCATCTGACTCCTATTTACCACAGTATTCGCATAATTAAAATGGTGGATATGCATAAATTCGAAGTGCTAAAAATAATGCACCAACATCACAACAAAAAACTCCCTCCTGCATTCACTAATTATTTTATGAAGCAGAGTGATGTTCACTCATATGGAACAAGGTCCTCGACCAGTTGCTCATATTTTTGAATCGTTTTTCTACCAAACTAACCCAACGCTCAATCAAGTTCATTGGAGTAAAGTTATGGAATTTGCTTCCTGAAACAATTCGTACAAGTAACTATAATTCTTTTAAATGTAAATTGAAAACTTTATACCTTGAAGCTTATAGGTGCTAGCAGTCTAACTTGTTCCGTTATAAGTAAGTTTCCTGTACCCATCCATGTTCCTCTACTGAACAGCTGTATTCAGTATTTTTTTTTATGACAGCTGAATGCTGTACCTCTTTTGCTGGCTGTTTCATGTTTTACTATGTCATTTTTTGCCAACTTCTCATGTGCAATTTATATAGTGCATACCGGTACTTCACTTTACTGTGCCGGTAACTCGTCCTCGTCTACTTTCCACATATAATAGCTATCAAATGGCAACCCAGTTGCTTGGGACGCTACTTCAGTCCTTTTTAGTGCTGGGTCGTATGACTCAGCATTATTTTATGTTTTGAATTCATCGATGCTCATCTTAAACACCAGATGTCGCTAATGAGCCTTCTTCTGAATGAATCGTACTGGCGGTTCTTGTAGTGTGGTTATTTACAATTAAATTTATTTCGCATCTATTGTTGTCTTTCCATGATTTGTGTATTTTATTTCGGATCTATGGTTGTCTCTCCATGATTTTTGTATTTTTGAAGATAATTTTTCCTTTTTGTTGTCGAATCTACTGTTGTCTTTCCATGATTTGTGTATTTTATTTCGAATCTATTGTTGTATTTCAATGATTTGTGTATTTCTGAAGATAAATTTTTGTTTTTTTGTTGTTCTATATGCTTCATTGCTATATTTGCTTCTTTAATACAGCACCAAGGTGTCGCTGACTAGATGACTCATTGAGTCTATTCGCGACCCCGCGTCAATTGCAATGAATCAATGTTTTTCGTATTTTCAGTTTACTGTGTTTTCTTTTGCCTCATATTGATTCTTGCATGACGAAATAAAATATCTGAATCTGAATCTGGAAAATCATCAAATTTATACGATGGGTGCCTATATATATACACTTGCAAAAATTCTGTTTTTTTACGTTTTGGGTTGATCCAGCTTGATCAACTTCAAGCCAAATTCTTTACATCTAATTGAATTTAAAATAAGATCATCGCGTATATGGATTATGTGTGATACATATATATTCGGGTGTCCATAAATAGGGATTTGTTCAAAAAGAATTGTTTTAAAACAATTGTTTTAAATCAAGTTTTTTTTGCCTGTTTTGTTCAAAATGGCTGTACTATTTGATTTTTTTGTATTAAATAGGTTGAAGAAAAATGGATGTAAAAACATGCTAAGCGCTTCTTGTTTGCAATGAATCCTTCAAAACGCCACACACATCGATAGAGGCTCATGCACACCTGCTCAAGCTGTAGTTCAGTGCTTGGCGCAATGAGACGCAACCGATAAGCCATTACGTGAACGACCCTGCAGCGATGGAACCATCTTGCGAAAATTGAAATGTGATTTAAACCAATTGTTTTAAAACAATTCGTTTTGAAGAAATCCCTAGCCAAAACCTTAATAGTCAATAGAACTAGAATGAATATATATCTAACGGTGAGGTTGCATGACGTATGGATTTGTGCAGTAAAAGATTTGCATTAAATTAGAGGATTCTTACAATTAACATAGGCTAGGTTAGGGTGTCTCATCCTTCATATCAGTAGATTACCGCCGATATAAGCATATTCTTCATTATCGCAACGCACTCGTTTTGCCGAAAGGCTGCACTCATAGGCGTAGCCAGGGGGGGGGGGGTTTGGGGCGGGGCGCTCCCAAATTTCCAAGATCCTCATTTTTGTGGCAGTCCTGCTCGCTGATTACATTGCATTGTTACGTCACAACTGCCCGCCATTCCTAACCCAAGGCAGTTTTTTTTATTTCTTTTACTGATTCAGATTGATCAGATAAATATTTGTTGTATCAAAGAAAAAGTTGTTCTGGAAATTAATTTTGTTTTTACAAAAAGCCAGCTAAGTTCAGTAAGTTGTTGAACATTATTTTCTATATTGATCAAATGTGGTCTTTTTTTGCCTAAAGAAGTTGATCTTGAAATATCTCAAATCCAATATCATTGCTTGAAATTACAATATTTGGCCCCACCAAAATTTTTGGCTGGCTACGCCTTTGGCTGCACTTGATCGAATTGCTTTTGTAGTAGGCTCGTGAGCTAATTTTCCTGATTTTTCTTACTCAAAACGTCTCTCTGATATCTCGGCTAAACATTGCGGGTGAAATATTATGACTTTGGTGGAGATAAAGATGGTGATAAAGTGACGATAAATGTACGCAATAGTGGTAAATGTCAATATAAATTTTACTTACATTTTTGAAATTATAATTCCGGCTGCGCGTGCAGCTGCCAGAATGCAACGTTTTGGCGTAGTTTTGCTGCGATGAAAGGGGTATTTCAATAAAAAATACAGAAAAAATTCGATTTAAAACAAGCCCTCGTTTTAAAACACGATGTTATTTTTAGAATTGATAAAAAACAAAACCCTATCTATAAAGTCTCTTTACAATTTAAAAAAATGTCATAATGATAAATCGCAATCAGGGTTGTTTCATTATAATCGGTATTTTATAAAGTTTTTATTGACACATTTAATACACTTCTGAACGTTTAATTAAAAATATCATTACTCTATTCAATACACTTCTATATGGGCACCTTTAGTTGCACGAAGCACAATTATTCGATTGCATATGATATCAAACTTTTGGACTATCTCTATTCTCTACTCTAATTGTTTTTTTCTGATCCAAAATTTCTTACATTTTGTTTGTTTAACTTTCTTGAGACATGAAAAGTTGCCCCATAACTGAAACAGACTCGATTGAGGAATGCTTCATCCTCAGAAACTCGCTGCAGCGTGTTCCCTGCAAATTATTTTTCGTCTTGGCATGTCGTTTGGTGCATGTAACATTTGCACTTTGTTAACATGCAATCTTAAATTCTTATGGAGGACTATGTGCACTGTGGAACGTGGTAGTTCCAATAGTCTGGCTGCGGTACGGATGGAATTCATAGGAGAACGTTGGAAGGAAGGCTTGCCTTACTTACACGATGTTTTCTTCAGATGTTCTTGGTCGCCCACTCCTTCTTGTATCGAACACTGTCCATGTTTCCATAAATTTTTTGTGCCATAAACGAATTGAAGAAAAACATAGCCATTTTAGTAGGAACATGGCCATTTAATAGAAACATATCGGGATCGCGATTTTAGAATAAACATCGGTATTTAGTGAGGACATGGCCATTTTAGTAGGCACAGCGCTATTTTATTAGGAACATAGTAATTTTAGTACGAAGATACCCGGATCGCGAGGAACATATCCATTTTAGTAAGAAGATATCGTGATCGCGACTTTAGAAGGGACATATCCGTTTTGTAGGGAGATAGCCATTTTAGTAGGAACATATCGGGATCGCGACTTTGGAAGAGGCACATCCATTTCGTAGGGACATAGCCAATTAGGTAGGAACATATCGGGATCGCGACTTTAGAAGGGGAATGTCCATTTTGTAGGGACATAGCCATTTTAGTAGGAACATATCGGGATCGCGACTTTAGAAGAGGCATATCCATTTCGTTGGGACATAGCCATTTTAGTAAGAAGATATCGTGATCGCGACTTTAGAAGGGACATATCCGTTTTGTAGGGAGATAACCATTTTAGTAGGAACATATCGGGATCGCGACTTTAGAAGAGGCATATCCATTTCGTTGGGACATAGCCATTTTAGTAAGAAGATATCGGGATCGCGACTTTAGAAGAGGCATATCCATTTCGTTGGGACATAGCCATTTTAGTAAGAAGATATCGTGATCGCGACTTTAGAAGGGACATATCCGTTTTGTAGGGAGATAACCATTTTAGTAGGAACATATCGGGATCGCGACTTTGGAAGAGGCACATCCATTTCGTAGGGACATAGCCAATTAAGTAGGAACATATCGGGATCGCGACTTTAGAAGGGGAATGTCCATTTTGTAGGGACATAGCCATTTTAGTAGGAACATATCGGGATCGCGACTTTAGAAGGGGAATGTCCATTTTGTAGGGACATAGCCATTTTAGTAGGAACATATCGGGATCGCGATTTTAGAAGGGACATAGCTATTTTAGTAGGGACGTGGTCATTTTAGTAGGGACATATCCATTTTGTAGGAACATAGCCATTTTAGTGGGAAAATATCGGTATCGCGACTTTAGAAGGGACATATCCATTTCGTAGGGACATAACCATTTCAGTAGGAATATATTCGGATCGCGATTTTAGAAGGGGCGTAGCCATTTTAGTTGTGAAATAACTATTTTAGTAGACGCATATCCATTTTAGTAGGAACATATCAGGATTTCCATTTTTAAAAGGGACGTAGCCATTTTAGTATGAACATATCGGGATCGCGATTTTAGAAGGGACATAGTTATTTTATAACTACCCTTTGCACCCGCAGATTTTAGTAACCAACATACAGATTGCACCCATGTAGGCAGCATTTCTACTAATGGACATTTGTACCGATAAACTTTTACACTCCTGGACACCAAACCCTAACATTATTGGATTACCCATGTTTGGTAATATTACCAATATAAAAACATATTTCCACTAACATGAAAAAGTTGTATTGCACATCAATGTAACAATGCAAAATTTCCAATAAAATAAAAACATTTGGAGAATGACTAAGGAATATCACATGACTCTCAAAGTAATAATCTTACCACTGTTTAGAGGAGTCATTGTTTGGATCGGAATATGATGCAAATTTGTATGCTATTTTATACTGGAAGGAGTATTCAGAGGTAGATAAAAGTATATTCAAGAGCTTAAATATCTAAATTAGAATATTTGCATAATTCCAGCAATGAGAAGTTGACAAAACCCTATGAACCGCACGAATATGTTTGCATGATTATTCTCTGCAACATAATAACTTGGCAAGTTGAATTGTTTGAAATATACATCATGAATTGCTGCCGCATACTTCGCAAAGCAAGAAGGAAATTCGAAAAACTTGAGATTATCTTTTTGAAGAACCTTTCCAAGTTTTTCCTTTTTCAAAGCCATTTTTAAACTCTTTGAATTCCATCATTGCTTGGTCTAACTGCTCCTTTGTATTCATTACAAATTGTTCATTTCTGTGCACTGGTTCATTCACAGGCTGTCCAGACACAAAAATAAACCTAGAATTACATCCAGAATCATTTCTAAATGTGACTGATGAACCTTCGCTTAGGAATGCGCAATGATATTGTAATACTTTTGTATCTGAAACATCAATGCATCCTTCAAGAACATAAACAAGACAAGTCCAATTTTCTGGAACAGTTTGATTGTAGGCAGTGTTTGGCTCCAGAAAAAAATCAACAAACGAAACAGGTGTCCTAGTTTTTACTTCAGACTTAGTACCCAATGCTTCGCCTAGCAATACTTTTGCTGTTATGCCCTCTTTTGTTTTAGTAGGGATATCACTTTTTAAAACTTCATGATAAGCCATATCACACATTTTGTCATTATTTTTCATGTTAACCCACAATTGAACTTCGTGTGATTCTCCCACAGGAAGTTCTGAATGCATAACACCTTTGCCCGCAGAAATAAACAGCATGTCACCTTGTTCCAGTATTGAATCACAACCAGAAAAATTTTCATGACGGACTTTTCCACCAATAATATAAAACAAGACTTCAAATCCTCTGTGTGGATGATCTGGATAACCAGCTGGAGGAGACATTTTCGAGTCTTCGAAAAGTAAGAATGGATCAAGATAGGTTACATTTTTGTCCCCAATAATGCACCGTCCAGACTCGTTTCCATTTACAAACTCTTCAATCAACCTAACTTCCTTAACAGTTCGAATACCCGTCATCATTTAGCTTGACACTTAACAGGTTGGCTCTAATCTATTTTATAAAAGCCCATGAAGTGATGAATTACATGATAAAACAATGTATAATATGTTAGTGGTATACCTATAAAAGGTTATTTATCACAATTTATTCCTGAAAAGTGAGCGTGAAACTGAAATGCATTCATTCTTCGAAGAGTTTAAAAAACGGGTAATATGAAATGAAATTTCACTTTTGTATGGTGTTCTGCCACCTTGTTTTAAGTAAATTTGCAAAGAAACGAACAAAACACTGATAAATATATATAAAATAATACTGAAAAATAGGTGTGACACGGTCTGAAACTAAAGTGCATTCATTTGAAACTCATTCTTCGAAGAGTTACAAAAACATTTAATTATCAAATGGAATTTTACTTTTGTATGGCGTTCTGCCACCTTTTTCAAGTTAATCACAAAGAAACGGACAAAACAGTGATAAATATCTAAAAAATTAAAAAAAAAAGACTGACAAGTAAGCGTGGCAAGGAGATGTGAATAGATGAATAATCATTTGAGGTTTTTCATATATAATTTGAATTTCAATAATCTAACATAGTAATATCCAGAAATTTCACACATCATTAGATGTTTACTTGGTTATTCTGAAATTTGTATAAGTGCAATAAAGTAATACTGCTTCTCAGTTCAACTAATAATAAATGATTATGAGTTCTCTCTTTGTATCCATGATTGTGCATTCTCAAATCCGTTTCGAGAATTGTGATAATCAGCGATAGCTTCATCTATTTGTTCTTGTGTGTTCATTACAAACGGTCCATGCCTGGCAACAGGTTCATTTAGCGGTTTCCCCGCAATGAGAAGGAAACGGCATTTTTCTGATGATTCATTGGCAAGTGTTACAAAATCTCCATCTTCGAGGATAGCAGTGTGGTGCGGAGGTACTGACTGGCCAACCACCATGATATTCCCAGACAGGGTATACGTAAATGCATTCCATCCTTTGGGTATGGGTTGCTGATGCTTGGCCCCAGGTTTAAAGTTAAAATCTAGATACATGGCTGGTGTTCGAGTGTTGATTTTTGACTTCACACCTAGCGCTTCACCAGAAAGAATATTGACTGAAACTCCATTCGATTTTGACTTGGGTATTTTTTTACTGGAAAATTCTTGGTAATCAGGTTCACACATTTTTTCATCACTTCGTAAGTTTATCCATAATTGCAGACCATGCCCCTCTTCAGTACTTCCAACTGATGGAATTTCAGAGTGCACTATACCTCGACCAGCAGTCATCCATTGCATATCTCCTGGCCCCAATAGGCCCTTATGACCACAGAAATCCTCATGCGATAACTTTCCTTTTAGAATATAAGAAACTGTTTGAAATCCTCTATGGGGATGGGGAGGAAAACCTGCTGGAGGTTTAATTTTGGCTTCGTCAAAGAGCAAAAAAGGATCGAGTGAAGGTAGAGTACGACTTCCTATGCCACGAAATACTTTGGCACCAATGCCTTCCGTTTTTTCAATGCTCTCAACTATTTTAGCAACATTTCTACACACAGTCATATTGTGCGTCTATAAGATTAAAATGCTTAAGATAAATAAAAATTTTTAAGTAGTAAATATATGCAAGAATTAGCTTAATGTATAAAAAATCTGCATGTGAAATCACTGATATCAAGAAGTTATTTACACAAACAGACACAAACGTTGACTGCCAGCATAATCTGCTCAACGAGTATGAACACACAACAATATTTATTTATTTTGGATAATTTATTGCACCCTGAGTGGGGTAAGAGGATCTCACCACAAGAAAACTTGAACCAAAGATCATTAATCCAGAAGGCTAGGACAAAATCCAAAACATAGTCTCATTACAAAAACTACGTTAAGACGACTAATACCGTATAAAAATGATAGGTTAACAATTTCAGAATACAAAAAATAGAACTGGAATTATTTACTTGAAAACATTTCTAAAATCAATTTGTATATAAAACAATATAAGCATAGTCTGAATCTGAATTTGAGACTATATAAATTTAAGTGCAAATGTGTAATATTGTCTAAATAATTCTATTCACCCAGAGACATGAGCATGCATATATTTAGGATTTACAAAAAAATGAGGGATCCTAATTCCTAATGAGAGAATTAAATTTTCAGCTCCATCATTTTTATTGACATAGAAAAGCAACTATGTTATGGACATGACAACCAATTTTTGCTTGGCAGATGAAAAACGTTACATTGTGATGTGAAATTCCACTCATCTGATTGTGTCATTGAACTGAGCATCTATAACAATATTCAATATAGAATTCAATTATATGATATATTCTTGAAACAATAAAAAATTGCCGCATGCCTGGCCAATTAGATTACCGGTAGGTCTGTGAAGTTTATTTTGCTGTATTGAAGGCAGTAAATGAGTAGTACAAATGAATTTATATATTTTCGTTCTGTGTATTAGAATATGAGTTATTAAATCAACGTTTCATGATCTTTTCCAGGAAGCAGCCTTCTCAAAGCCATTTTGACCATTATGGAAATCGTTAATTGCTTGGCTAATTTGCTCTCTCGTATTCATTACAAAAGGACCCTGCTGTACAATCGGCTCATTGATTGGTTGTCCTGCAACTAGAACAAAATGTGAAAGCTCTTTTTCCAAATTTTCTAACGCAACAAACTCCCCATCATCAAGAATAGCAGTGTGATGAGACGCAACCTCCGTTCCAGAGATACTCAAATCTCCTGAAAGAGTGTAAACGAAGGCCGTCCAACCTTTGGGTACAGGTTGTTCAATTTTCGCCCCACTTTCCAGTTTGAAGTCCAAATACATTGTTGGAGTTCTCGTATAAACTTTCGATTTCGCACCTAGAGATTCTCCAGAAATGACAGCAACAGTAACTCCGTTTTTCGATGGCTTTGGAATGTCACCAGCAACAAGCTCCTGATAGGCTGGTTCACACATTTTTTCAGTGCTTCGTAAATTTATCCAGAGTTGTAATCCATGTCCTTCATCCGTATCTTTTGCTGGCATTTCAGAGTGGACAATACCCCTGCCAGCCGTCATCCATTGTAGATCACCTGGTCCAATAGTGCCCTTGTGTCCACAAAAATCTTCATGAGTAAACTTTCCATTGAGCATGTATGTAACGGTTTCAAACCCTCTATGTGGATGCTCGGGGAAACCAGCAGGAGGTTTCACACGAAATTCATCGAGAAGCAAGAATGGGTCTAGGTTTCTTAGCTGAGCTCCACCAACGCTCCGCCGAACTCTGGCTCCAACACCTTCCGCTTGCTCCACACTGAGTATAGTATTTTTCACCTTCCTAATCATCTTAGACGATAGTATATTTGAAGTTTCTTTACAGTCTGTAAAAACAGATTCATCACAAGACTGACCGAATGTGCTTTGACAGAGTTGGGATATTTGAAATAGAAAAACTAAAATATGTAGACTTGACATTATCATCAGCTTACATCTGTATGAAATACCATAAGACATATCTTTGGATCTGGTATACTTTGGCAAAGGTACTAACGTTATGTCCTACTGCATATCTAGCATGTTCAGATATTGCAGTTTCAGAGTCTTGTGGTAAATACTGGGGTTAATCTGCATAAAATAGGTGAGTTAACTTGGTTACGAACTAGCTATGTACCTACTGAAACGGCTATGTTCGATACCGATATAGGCTTACTATGTTATGTCCGTCTGACCGTACTAAAAAGGTGGTATATGTTCGATACCGATATAGGCTTACTATGTTATGTCCGTCTGACCGTACTAAAAAGGTGGTATGTCTACTGACAGACTGAGTACGATAGACACATACCGTATCGCGCCGTGACCGTGACTATTCAATTCAACTCGTTTATTACTCCAGACCGCTGTGGTCCATATAAAAACAACACAACAAATAAAAAGTAAGTCCTTGTCTATGATTGAAGTCTAGCAAACTTATCTTCACAAAACTTTAGGGATAACTGTGCCATATAATATAATTCATCCTTATTTAATATCTATAGAAATGATAGGCGAAATTTCCAGATAACGCATCAATACGTCATTTTGGAATGGACGTCCAATGTATTTTTGCTCGCTAACCATGACGCGGCATATTTGCGAGATGCACATTAGCGTACAATGGTCACGTGACTAATCCAGGGGAAGGTCGCTGCGCTACCCGCGAGGGGAAATGTATGGAAATATTGTTAGTAAATTAAGAAGCAGATGTTTGTTTGAAGTTTGTTGGAGGACCTGGGTCGTTGCGCCGGACGAATGGCGGAAATTCGTCCGGCGCTCTGCCCCCGACCCCTCTGGTCCATTAAGAAGTTCAAATACCCTGTAATAAACTGATCACCCCTAACCGGAGTCGAATTTTCCCAATTTTAAGGTCCGTGATCACTCAACCGTGACGAATTTTTTTTGACATAAACTAGACTTCAACTAACTTGTATGACCCTAATATGGCATCTCTACCTTCTACCATTCTCGAGATATAGCGTAAAATCACTGGAGCGTGACTGAGGAGCTGGAGAAATAAAATTTCTTTCAAAATAGATTCGAATATTTATTCTAAACATGCCCATGCCTTTACTTTCTTAATAAGTCTTTTCAGAGGCCTGCAATAAGCCAAAATCACTAGACCATGACTGGGGGGTAAGAGAAAAAAAATTTCTTGAAAAACGCGTTAAACTAATTTTTCCCAACATACCTATCTATTCTATTTCTCGATAGCTTCATTTTTAGGTGCGCAACCTTCTTACGCCACTGGAGGGCGATTGGGAGGGGGAATTCCCAAAGTTCAGGTGGTGAAATATTCTATATATTAGTCCCTTTGAGATTTAGGCATCACTTTGCCCAAAAACCAATTCCAAGTGCTCCTAATAGCCCAAAAACCATATTACCTAAGTGGGCGTGGCTTTCCACACGTTTTCTCACCACTGGGGGGGCGGTGGCAGTGCCCCCACCCCCAATATCACTTGAATAAATTTCCAATACTCGGGCAAACGCTTTTTGGCCCCGAAAACGGAGCTAAACGGCTTCTAAACCCCAAAATCACTCTAGCGTTACTTGATTGACTGCTTATTGGCCAATAAACAGCCACGGGACACTAAAAGCCCGTTTTGGCCCCTTTCCTTTGGCCCGATCGCTACCAAAAATTTTCTGTGTTCCTTTGGCACCTGTCCCCCGCTTCATGTCAAGTTTCGTCACGATCGGCCCGGCAGTTATCTGGGAAATGGGTTTTAACGCCGGTACTCTAGCGAGACTTTTATACTAGTTTTTTCTGTGCAACGAAAAATGACTTACAACTGTGCAGTCGCACTAAAAGTGCTCTCGGGTTGGCATACCATCCAGGGGTCGGTCGCTTCGCTACCCGCGAGGGGAAATGTAAAGAAATGTGTTTAGTAAGGTAAAAAGTAGGTGTTTGTTCTGATTTTGTTGGAAGACCCTGGTCGTTGCGCCGGACGAATGGCGGCATTCGTCCGGCGCGGTGCCCCCGACCTTTTTAGTCCATTAAATAGTTTAAATACCAGGTTAGAAACCGATCACCCTCAATGGAAATCAAGTTTTATTAATTTTAGGGCCCGTGATCACTCAACCGTGACGAATTTTTTTTGACATAAATTAGACCTCAATTAACTTGTATGACCCAGATATGGCCTCTCTACCTATTACCATTCTCGAGATATAACGTAAAATCATTGGAGCATGACTGAAGAGTTGGAGGAAAAAAATTCCTTTTAAAATGGATTCAAATAATTTTTCCAAATATGCCCATGCTTTCACTTTCTCAATATGTCCTTTCAGAGGCCTGCAATAAGCCAAAATCACTAAAGCGTGACTGGGGAGTAAGAGAACAAAAATTTCTTCAAAAAAATGTTAAACTAATTTTTCCAACCATACCTATCTATTTCATTTCTCAATAGCTCCATTTTTAAGTGCGCAACCTTCTTACGCCACTGGAGGGCTATTGGGAGGGGGAAACACCGATTTTTCAGTAAAGAAAATTTCAAATATTTATACTCTTTGAGAATTAGGCAAATCTTGGCCCAAAATCCCATTCACATGCCTCAGAATTGCCTAAAAACAATGGAACCTAAGTGGGCGTGGCTTTGCACGAGTTCTCTCACCACAGAGGGCGTGGGGGCACAGCCCCCACCGCCAAAAAGACTTGGAAAAATTCCTAATACTCGGGCAAACGCTTTCCGGCCCCGGAAACTCAGCTAAACGGCCTCTAAACCCCTAAATCACTCTCGCGTGACTTGATTGACAGCTGATTGACCAATGAACAGCCTCGGGCCACAAAAACCCCGTTTTGACCCCTTTCCTCTGGCCCGATCGTTTCCAAAAATTTTCTGCGTCATGCGGACAGGGATACCTGACTAACGTGCTAATCACCTACCTCATCTGCCCTACCCTACATAGTGGAAATGCTCATCAGTCGGTCTCCCACGCATAGAATTTTAACTTCCACCTCACGTGCAACGTTTTCTGATTTAGACTGTGCATTCGCACTTTCAGTGCGACAGGTTGCGAGACCATCCAGGGGAAGGTCGCTGCGCTACCCGCGAGGGGAAATGTATGGAAATATTTTTAGTAAATTAAGAAGCATATGTTTGTTTGAAGTTTGTTGGAGGACCCGGGTCGTTGCGCCGGACGAATGACGGAAATTCGTCCGGCGCTGTGCCCCCGACTACTCTAGTCCATTAAGAAGTTCAAATACCCTGTAATAAACTGATCACCCCTAACCGGAGTCACATTTTTCCAATTTTAAGGTCCGTGATCACTCAACCGTGACGAAATTTTTTTGACATAAACTAGACCTTAACTACCTTGTATGACCCAAATATGACATCTCTACCTTTTACCATTCTCGAGATACAACGTAAAATCACTGGAGCGTGACTGAGGTACTGGAGAAAAAAAATTTCTTCTAAAATGGCTTCAAATAATTTTTCTAAACATGCCCATGCCTTTACTTTCTTAATAAGTCCCTTCAGAAGCCTGCAATAAGCCAAAATCACTAAAGCGTGACTGGGGAGTAGGAGAAAAAAAATTTCTTGAAAAAAGCGTTAAACTAAATTTTCCCAACATACCTATCTATTTTATTTCTCGATAGCTTCATTTTTAGGTGCGCAACCTTCTTACGCCACTGGAGGGCGATTGGGAGGGGGAATTCCCAAAATTCAGGTGGTGAAATATTCTATATATTAGTCCCTTTCAGATTTAAGCATCACTTTGCCCAAAAACCAATTCCAAGTGCTCCTAATAGCCCAAAAACCATATTACCTAAGTGGGCGTGGCTTTCCACACGTTTTCTCACCACTGGGGGGGTGGTGGCACTGCCCCCACCCCCAATTATACTTGGAAAAATTCCCAATACTCGGGCAAACGCTTCTTGGCCCCGGAAACGGAGCTAAACGGCCTCTAAACCCCAAAATCACATAGCGTGACTTGATTGACAGCTCGATGTCTTGCAACCTCTGAAGGTGCCACTAAAACCCCCGTTTTGGCCCACTTCTTTTGGCCCGTTCCTTCTGAAAAATTTTCTGGGTTCATTTGGCAATAGTCCCCACGTACATGCCAAGTTTCGTCCCGATTGGCCCAACAGTTTCCCGGGAAAGCCAGAATGTTGGGGTCTACTCTAATTAACTTTGTCCTGGCTACTGGCTTACGCGCAAAGGCTTCTGATCTATACTGTGCATACGCACTTTCAGTGCTCTCGGGTTGCCTAACCATCCAGGGGTCGGTCGCTTCGCTACCCGCGAGGGGAAATGTAAAGAAATGTGTTTAGTAAGGTAAAAAGTAGGTGTTTGTTCTGATTTTGTTGGAAGACCCTGGTCGTTGCGCCGGACGAATGGCGGCATTCGTCCGGCGCGGTGCCCCCGACCTTTTTAGTCCATTAAATAGTTTAAATACCAGGTTAGAAACCGATCACCCTCAATGGAAATCAAGTTTTATTAATTTTAGGGCCCGTGATCACTCAACCGTGACGAATTTTTTTTGACATAAATTAGACCTCAATTAACTTGTATGACCCAGATATGGCCTCTCTACCTATTACCATTCTCGAGATATAACGTAAAATCATTGGAGCATGACTGAAGAGTTGGAGGAAAAAAATTCCTTTTAAAATGGATTCAAATAATTTTTCCAAATATGCCCATGCTTTCACTTTCTCAATATGTCCTTTCAGAGGCCTGCAATAAGCCAAAATCACTAAAGCGTGACTGGGGAGTAAGAGAACAAAAATTTCTTCAAAAAAATGTTAAACTAATTTTTCCAACCATACCTATCTATTTCATTTCTCAATAGCTCCATTTTTAAGTGCGCAACCTTCTTACGCCACTGGAGGGCTATTGGGAGGGGGAAACACCGATTTTTCAGTAAAGAAAATTTCAAATATTTATACTCTTTGAGAATTAGGCAAATCTTGGCCCAAAATCCCATTCACATGCCTCAGAATTGCCTAAAAACAATGGAACCTAAGTGGGCGTGGCTTTGCACGAGTTCTCTCACCACAGAGGGCGTGGGGGCACAGCCCCCACCGCCAAAAAGACTTGGAAAAATTCCTAATACTCGGGCAAACGCTTTCCGGCCCCGGAAACTCAGCTAAACGGCCTCTAAACCCCTAAATCACTCTCGCGTGACTTGATTGACAGCTGATTGACCAATGAACAGCCTCGGGCCACAAAAACCCCGTTTTGACCCCTTTCCTCTGGCCCGATCGTTTCCAAAAATTTTCTGCGTCATGCGGACAGGGATACCTGACTAACGTGCTAATCACCTACCTCATCTGCCCTACCCTACATAGTGGAAATGCTCATCAGTCGGTCTCCCACGCATAGAATTTTAACTTCCACCTCACGTGCAACGTTTTCTGATTTAGACTGTGCATTCGCACTTTCAGTGCGACAGGTTGCGAGACCATCTAGGGGCCGTTTCAAGAGCTCGGCTGACTTAATATTGCATCTCTATAAGTCCAACTGGTAAACCCAAGATACCGGTTCGAGCATTTCCTCCGAGCGTTTTCTCATAATCAATTTTGTACAGTCATAACGGGCTGTCCACTCCGCAACCTGTTTACAATGTATTTTGCTTGTTAATCATGAAGCTGCATAATTGCGAAGTGGTGATATGACTAATACAAGAGAGCTATGCTCAAATATATGGACACGTAGCGCCACCCAATGGCAATAATTTTGATGACGTCATAGCGAAAAAAAAGTAATAGCCTTCTGGAGAAAAATTTTATCTTCAACCACTGAAAATTTGAAAGCAATTGGTCCAGTATTCGAAGAGAAAAGCGACTTTTTAAAAACGTGTCAAAGAACAACAACAACATAATATTGAAACGATCGTTATGTCCACTACGTGTCCAATAAGGGCATTTTATGTCAACAAATCAGAGCTCCGCTGACTTTTTACTTACTGCTCTTACGATGAGTCTACTCTAACTGGTGAAACCAAGATACCACTGGTTCGAACATTTCTTTCGACTGCGTTAGAAATTAGCTATTTCTAAATTAGATTTAAATATGATATTTAACTAAAACCATAAAAAATGTAATTTTTGAAACTTTTGTACAGGTGAGGACCTTAATTAACTGCCTAAATTTACCACTAATTCAAACTGGCTCAGCTAGGTTAAATATAGGAGAAACGGATTTGGGCTCATGATTGCTACGTAGAGCAGTGCCTTTGCTTTTATGTTTGAAATAATTGACAATGCATGCCGTATTTGAAATACACTCGATCGAATGACACAAGATATAAGGTTCCCACTTGGCATCGTTATTCTTTTCTAAAAGAGTTTTTCTACATGTATCTTCCCATGTCGGATTAGCGCATGGGCCGATGGGGATGCAGCCGCAAGGCCGCCGATAAGAACATACTTATAAATCCAATAGATATTAGCCTAAAAAGATAGATAGTAATATAGCCTTAAATCACCCACCATCACTACATTCACTTCTGTCCTTGTTTATTTCAAAGTGGCATATGCTGATAAAATAAAAGTATTATTATCAAGATTAGAACGTTGATGTGTGGGACAACTTGAATCTAACAAACCCAACTTTCATACTAACTGCCAACTTTTAGTCTGAAAAGCGATTGTTTTTATTGGTAATACATAATAGGGACAAGCGGCCAGATGTTTTGTGTATTTCGTGTTTTTTTTTTTAACTGTACCAATTGGTTTCGTTTTCACTTTGGGTGACACGGGATGGTGTAATAACATTTGTTTGTATATATATATATATATATATACATATATATATATATATATATATATATATATTGTATTATTTATCGACGTTTGTATTGTCACATACGTGTAAAAAGTACTTCATAAGCATGAGTTTTTGGCAATATTTCCAGAAAACGGTTTCTAAATTAGTCGATAGTCAGCCAGTAAACGCATAAAATCATCGATCTTCGGGGTAGGTCATTCTCTGTAAAGTCTAAGATGATACATATATTGGCCTCGAACACAGGATATGCATACTTAAAATCAAGATTGCTTTGTATTTTACAGTACACTGCTTGAAACAATCGCACCCCCAGAAAATCCAATTTATGAGTAGCAGTTATCCCAAGAATTACTAGGCATTAGGATTTATAAAGACCACAAATTCAAAAATTGATTGCAATAACCGTACAAATTGATTTTTGATGAATTTGGACAACAAAATGCGCGGAAAATTAGAATTTGAATTTGCGTACTTGTTTATCACCAAATCATATTCAAAACTAAACACGAGTAACTCTAACTGTGCAAAGCCAGTTGTGGGTATATATATATTGCAGACATGTGGTCTAGGGTTGGATTATCCGGATAGCGGTTAACCGGTTAACCAAGAAGTATTTTGGTATCTGATATCCGGATATTATTATAACGGTTAACCGGATAATAGAGCAGTATAAATAATGCATATGCGCATTAGTGATTTTTATATTTTTTGTTGAGTGGCCACTGACATCTCTCAGAGCATACAATAATCACTTATATCCACACTACTCTGCCTATATTTTAGTCATTCGTATAATGCTGGAGTAAACTTGACTATTACCTCACAAAACACGCAGAAAAATGTGATTATTGCGTATTTGCGTTATAGAAGAGCCCGACTTACGTTAAAATAAAAGCATTTCTACTCTAGATATGAAAATAAGTGGTAGGCTACACGAATAAATCTAATTTCTTATTTTTGCGATCCGTAAATTCATCAAATTTGAGCTATTATTGCAATTCCAATGAGTATAATTTATTTAGTACAATAAATGCAGATATTAATTAGCTTATATCAACATTTTCGGGAGAAAAGTCGGGTTCAGTCTCGTCGGTATATAACGCCGAAGTTGTTTTATTTCGCCTGGAACTGAAATGGCCGCAGTATGTTAAACTATTGTCGTATCTATCTATCGTTAAGAGAGTAGATCTGAAACACACATTTTTGACTGAAAATAAGGAAGTAAATGCTAACGAAAATACCACGACTCTTGATTTATGAGCCAGTGATAGATAAAACAAAACTCTATTTTAGGCGCTGTTGAATCGCCAAAATTTCGTGATACAGTAATCGTATTTACTGATTTTACAACAAGGGTAACTTGTCACGGAATGTAACTTCTTTTCAAATTGAAACTGGCATAATGCCGATGTTAATTCCCCAAATAATCACGCGACGCAGAAGAAAACGATCGGCGATGATGACAAAATTAGCCTGTAAAATTCGACCGCCTTTATTAGTGACGTTTTCGAAAATTTTAAAAAGAGGAGGAAGGGCTGTTATTACATTTATGGTTTTCATGGAACTTTCACAAACAAATTTGTTTGTAAAATGGTCTATATTATTTCAGCAAAGTTTAATTTGACAGAGTTTGTATCGTGTCATGTTTCATTTACTCATTTAGGGTGGTAAGTAAAGTTGTTCAAAAACTGGCGCAGCATTGTTTTGGCTTTGTTAATTTAGTTTGAAAGGTATTCGAATGGAAATAGATTTTTAAAGTTGTGGCCTAATTAGTACAAACGTGAGAATATTTTCAGTGACAAAAATTCCTGACCACTTCGGTATTTTCAAAATCATCAATTTGCTTTGTTGTTAAAATTTTTGTTCAAATTACTTATATTTTCCTATACACTTCACGGAATTTGTCCCCCCTATATTCTATTTTTTTTTGATACTTCTCTCACCGAAATCAAATGTTCGAAATGCACGACTTTTTGTGTTCATGATTCCATTTATATGTATGCTCTTGTGGTATATATTAACAAAGTTTATTTCGTCGTGCAAGAAATCACAAAATATTATAGAACACAAAATACTATACGTGCCAATAATAAATTTCATTGCAATTGATAGAAAGGTGCGGATGATCAGAAATGATCATTGTGAGTCTGCGACACTAAAATTTAATACGAGTCAAAATTTAAAGAAAAGAGGCTCTAGACACAAAAAGAAGCTTTCAAAAAAATTTAAATAATAAAGTAGAAATAATATAAATCTTTACATATTGTTTGAATAGGAGAAAATAACTTAGCAGTATAGGGGGGAAAACAATTAGGACACAGTATTTTCGAAAAATGTTTCATTTTATTATTCCGCTGTACATCGGTACAATTACAGAGCTCAAATTGTTATGTGAATATTCACAATAGAACTGTGTGGTGGTTTTTGATCAATTCACCGCAAAAATCCTGCGAAATCGGTTCTCTGAAATCAGCAGTAACTATCCGGTTAACCGGATATTTGAAATACGGAATACCCGGATATATCCGTTATCCGGATAGAGAAATTATAGGTATCCGAACTAACCCGATACTTGAGATATACATACATAATCGAAACTTAATTGAGGAAATTAGATTTAGATCGCCATTTTTAATAATACATAGTGGAACGAAGATAGAAACACTGATTGGCTGTTCTGCATTGTGAAACTCGTGTTCTACGAATCTTTATCTTGACAATAGGTTTCGTTTTTCAATATGTATGACACTAGTATGGCGTAATAGACTTGTATTGTTACATGATTGTGTATTGTCGAGGAATTATGACAATCTAATTTTCGAACAATCAGTTCGCCTATCAGCTCTAGGGGAATGTCGGGTATGGGATAAATAAATTTGCAACACATGCAAAGTTAAAAGAATATGGAATAACGTGGAATATTTATTTGGTATATAATATAACAACTACCATTTTTGGTACGTTCATGTTAATTAGTCACCAATTGACAGTTATTTTCGGTTAAAGATTGAGGTGAAGGTCACGATGAATATGCGTAACGGAAGAACCAGGATTGGTCAGCGTCTTTCAGTTCCACTGCTTCGACCAAATGGAGACCAGTATGTACTGGACAGGCAAATTATAGGCGAAATTTTCTGTGGTAGATCAGTTGCAGAAGCAAAAGCTGTCATCATAAACATGTGTGGCGTGATGCATTGTGGGAAGTCATTGAATCTGAATCATTTTTATGAATTTCTTCTGGGAACGAGGGTATGCATTTAATGTAACCTCAATTTTAGTAACATATCCGACCTCATTACGTCTTGCCCATTGGTATTTTTTCGTGAGAAAACAATTATTTTTTGCTACAAAAATTGTATCGTAATTTTGACTATATTGTATACATGCGACTACATGTTAAAATCTTTTAACAGGACTCTCACAGTTCGCGAAAGTCGAACCCTCCAAGAAAATGTTTTGATTGGGCTAACGGAATAAAAACTCAACGGAAAACTATCGGAATGCATATCACTAAAAAACCTATTCTTATTCGTCGAGATGGACAGGTTTGCTCAAGAATTCCCAATATTACTTTATTTTATACTCGTTGGCTTTAGTTAGTTCTTTGCTGGATTAAACGACGATGATAATCCAATTTCACTGGTTTTGTTTTTTTTAAAAAAAATTTTGTGACTTTACCTCTAATGCCTTCAGTAACTTTTATTGATTATTCACAAATTCACTCGCTGTCGTGAATAGTTTCTGGTCAGAGAAATTTCTTCGAGTAGTATGCCACCATGGCTATAGCACAACATTAAACAAATCATTAATTAATGGTATTTTATGACTTATAATTGAATGATAAGTTACATGAATTTTATTGCAGGACCTCGCTATATTTTTGCTGGACTGTGAGGGAACTGATTTAAGATCTGGAAACGTACAAACATTTTTGTTCACGCTCTCCACTCTGTTGAGTTCTGTTCAAATCATCAACGTAGTAAAAGATATTCAAGATCGCGATGTTTACGCACTAAAGGTTGGTTATAGAGTAGTGTGCCAGCTTAGATTGCAATACATACCCTAATGACTTGTCTGTTTCTTGCCCATAATTTTGAATAAACTTGGATTAAAATCGAAATTGACGTTTTGGTCCCAACTTCGTATACAAAGTTTAATAGGGGGAAAATGCTTGGCAAGGCATAATGAAAGTATATATATACTTTCAGTGAAACAAATGCATAGCCAGATATTTATCACGCTCTCACAATACCTAAATTAATATGTAAATGACTATTATTAACTTGTGTAGAATCGAATCGAATTTTAGTATTGTTGCTGCATCGTGTAATATTAATTTATTTTGATTGTTATTAATTTATTGTTTATAGTCGTTCATATCTGCCTACGATGAGTTGAATTCCGCACGCGGAGGAATATTTGAGGTAAATGTTTACAAAATAAGTTTTTCAATAGAGGGAAGTTGTGGTTATGAATGCTTCAACTTAATTTTCAGACACAACTTCTTTTTTTGGTTCGAGATTCTACAAGTACGATGTCGTGCAAGTTAGGTGATGAGGATGGCCCACAGTTCCTTTCAAAAACATTTCGAATGGGATTTAAACGCACAATTCATGATAAGCTTCGAAAATCTTTTTCGGATGTCAGTTGTTTTATACTGCCACATCCCGGATCAAAAGCTACTGTTAGACAACTGAAAGACGAGTTTAGTGGTGCATTCCAAGGTCAGCAAACTGGTATACATATACACATAATATTTGCTTTCAATTTGAATCCTTAAAAATATAACGCTTGTCTGTCGCGTAGTTTGCCTCATTTCAGTGTCTGGTTTCTGTCTCATCTTTGCTGAAATTGGATGTTTTAGAATAATATTAATACAGTTGCAAAATACTTATTTTATAAGCAATGGAATGCAAATGATAATATAATATCTCACGCCTACATCATAACATAGCATATCTCAGAAACATACTATATATTTATACCACAATTCATGTTGATTTATATATTATATTTTTTGCAGAATTGAACGAATCCTTTGTATTCTACCTGCAACGTTTAATGGATCGAGTTTTAACTCCAGATAATTTGGTTATCAAACGGGTTAACGGCAAGCAAGTTACATGTCGAGAGTTTGGAGATTATATTGAAGCTTGTTACGATGCACTCTCGGGAGTTAAAGATCTTTGCGTCGGTTTGCTAAAGGTAAAAACAGATCTAACGGGTTGCTTTTTGTGTAGATTCGATTGTTGAAATCTCCGATTCGTTCGTTCAACTGAAAACCATTTTTAGCGTTCGGCTACATGCTGTATTTAAATAAATTTTCTATTATGAAATTTTGAACAAAACTTTTTTGCAGCTTGCTTCACACACAAGATATAAACCACTGGTGGAGGAATGTGGGAGTTACTTCAAGCAATCGTTGGAACAGGTTAGAAATACATATACTAAAAAAGACGCTGTGCAGTCTAACCTTCCTCTGCATCAGTCACTTTTTATTTTTTCAAGTTTAGAAGTTACGACTTTGACACTTCTGGTGAAATTCAATTACTAATTAAAGTCAAGTTGAATTTGAACATATTCTTCTCTAAATATGAAGGAAATTCAAGGAATCGCCCTTGATGAAGTTGAATTTTCCGAAATCAGTGATGAAAAAGTTCAGGACGCCATACAGAAGTTTATGAATGCAACTGCTAGTAGAGTTCACGACGATCAGAAAGAAAGATATCAAACGATTCTTGAACAAGACCTGCATGAGTTTAAAAATGAAATCCGTACAAGTAACGACAGATTTTATGTGAGTAAATAATTGCCAATTTTCTTTCGTGTCATATTTGAATAAGAATACAGACTATTGTTGGGGGCATAATAATCAGTTGATATTTATAAATATTACTTTAATAATAGAGTATACGTAATAGAGTTTGTGGCAAAATAAAATATATTTTAATATTCAATGTTTTTGTTAACAAGAACAACACTGTAACGTTCGCACAATTTCGATCCTAGAACGCACTGCATCGTCATATTCATCACTGTACAGAGGGTAATATAATTATAAATGATTACATCACACATCACATGCGTCGGGACAATGTATAGCGTGTATAGTTGCCACCACTAACCTTTGTTTTCGCAGCTGGCCCCATTGAAAAAGGGAAAATTTCCTATCAAAATAAATCTAACAATCCTAGAAGGTTCATTCCAAAGTTTATACAGACAATACAGAAGTTCCTGTTGACGAACCCGTATCTATTATATCTGTGTGTTCAAAAAGCCGCAATTGTAGAAATCGCTAACAATCTGACCTATATTGTTAGCGATAATATTGTTGATATTCGTGGGTGTAACTCAAATTGTGTTGCATTTTATATTGAAATTGTGTTCATTGTTGGCATTGTATAGTATAACAATCGAATGTAAATATTTTCTGTGACTTGGTTACCAAAATAGTTTTATGTCCTGCATCACCGCAATTTTGCAACCTTTCTTATATGATATTTCCAGAATGCATCCAGTGATAAAAACGAGACAGCAGTAAGGAGAGCAAGGAGGTCGTACGAGAGGGAATTTCAAAATATGGCGAGTGTTGAGCATAATATAATGTATATTTAACAAAAACATTCATGACGAGTGGTGACAATAAAATACCGAAATTTTTTGCTTCTAGGTACGGGGACAGAGACTTGATCATCAAACCGTCAAGGATTATCACGAACTTGCAATGAATAATGCATTAGCATATTTCAACAGAACGCCAAAGCAGGGAGGGCAAAATTTTATACAAAAGTTTCGAGAGAATCTACACAGTCGTATTTTGGATATTTTCCGTGAAACATGTGAAGAGGTATGCCGATTCATCGAGAATTAGACAAACATTGTGATTCACGGGTTGCATGATATATCTGTCTTAGCATTTGTATAAGTAGCACTTGATTTTTATTTTGTTAGTTAATATTATTTAATATATAAAAGTTGATATATTACTTATATTATATAGTCTATAAATATAAACTGTATAATGGTATAAATTCAAAGTGTATAACGGAAGATATTAATTTTTTTTTTTCTAGATTTCCTTTGCCGATGTTCTTTTATGTGGTACAGATATGATAAGAAGTAAGTTATTCAAAAGTTAAGTAAACCAACAAAGAAAAGTATAAAAATTGTGTAGTTTAGTCTGATCTACAAGCTAAATGACCTGAAGCAGATAACTATGTACGATATATAGGGAATGGAATAATCTACTTCAATGCACGCAATATAGGCTTATCAAAAAAACTCGAACATGTGTATTTTCAGCCCATATGAACAACACTGATCAATTGATATTCATTTTTACACTATTCCCAGCTGCCGTGATAGGAGTGCGCGGTGGACAACTGGATCACGATGCGTGCTCAATTGGATTTCAGAATGGAACTGTCACATCAGATACAGAATTATCTATAAAAGTTGCCAAAGACACGGTTGGATGGCCAGAAGAAGAATACATCCGGCGTTCACCTGTTCTGATATTTGAACCCAGTGACTGCCGCATTCGCAAGCCCGTTAAATGCCAACTCCAAATGTGGTATATCGCTTTTTCCCATGAAGTTTTTCCCGAGGAAAACGTTTACGTATTGCAGAAACGGCAAGATGCTTGGATAGTTTTACATAATGAAGTTATCGCAAATAAATCAACGATTGACTGTAATCTCACCGAACTTTCTCCCGTTGCTCTGGCTATTTCCGTAAGAGAAAAGAAGCGCCAGTTGACAACCGTTTTGTACCTGAATACCGGCGGCAACTTTATTGCGAAGTTTTATGACATGAGCAACACAAGTGTAATGAATGCTATAAGAGAATCCGCAAAATCCGGCAGATACCTTACAGTGGTGGATACGAACACTCTTGAAATTTCCCGAAATGACGAAATTATAGTCTCGCTTGGTCGGTGCAATGATAATTCTTCAGCGCCAGACACTCAACAGTTTCGCGGCGAAGATGTTTATTCACCGGGAATAACAAAGTCTATACAATTCGTTTCGCCAACGGTACCGACAAACGAGAATGCAACAACTATGTTTTACGAGGTTAAGATCAACGGACAGAAGAAAATATCCAATCCTTTCAAAGTCGATTTAAACAACCCAGGAAGGCCTGACACGGCGGCTGCTGGTCCATTTACCTTCAACCGAACTCATGCGATTGGCGGTTTGTATATTAGATAAAATTTCGTATATATATAGGTAGCAAATTGTGTTATAGGTAGTGGTGGGATTTAGTGAGTTCGAACCCGTGCCTGTCTTTGAGACATATATATAGGTTTGGTATGATTTGGTAAAATAAGATAATCTGTTGTTAGTGAGTTCGATACAAAAGAGAACCTTTTCTAAAACCTTATCACCAATGACACAGTGGTCTAGAGCAGTGATTCCCAAAGTGGGCGATATCGCCCCCCAGTGGGCAAAAACGATACAGAGGGGGGCGAAAAAGTCTAAGGGGGCGATTTTGCGAAACCTGTTTTATGTTCGGCGAACTTAATTCTGTACTCTGTGTGCATTCGCAGGTTTGAATCACGTGGGCGATTATCACACGCGAAAGGATTTCTGGTCTAGTCTTCGCAGTAAGGCAAGATAGTTTGCCTATCCCAGTGGTCGGCAAAATACGGCCGGAATAAAATAATCTGGCCCGGGACGATTAACTGAATGGACCTTTCCCGGACCTTTGACAGCGGAAAATTCTTCCTATATACTTTACCATTTTAAAATTTTCGGTACTTATTTTAAGAGTGGTTTCGCGAGTTGTTGCCTGTAAAATGGGGTATTTGTTTCAAACTATCATTCTAATACACACCATTAACAATCTGTTTTTTAAAAGTACCGATAAAGAATTTTAGCCTAGTCTATCACAGATATTTCTATACTAATTTTAGATTGCTGTATTTAAACTGAAACTCATAGAAAGACAAAGTAATCATTGACTTATTTGATTTATATTCAAATTTACTAAAAACTGACGAATATAATTCAAAAACGCGAAAATGAGGTAATGTTCACGACCACGCCTGAAAATCTGTCTGAGTGAGAGTGTCTGAGCGCCTGAGCGGATGGGAAAGGGGGCATTGTTACGTTTTTTGCATCTTGCTGATTGGCCAATGTCACGAAGCAAACAAGGAAGTCTATGCCCGGGGAAATATCCAAACGGCGGTTTTGACGATGAATTTTTTTTTATTTATAATCTACGCTCGAGGAGTAAATTACATTTTTTACGTAACAGAATTTATCGTGAGACACGTTTATACTGAATTATACTATATCCCAACAATTTAGTGAACAGCCACTCGTTTAACCAGCCTACAATTTCTTTATAATTAGACAAATGGAAACACGCAGAAAAGTTGATGCTGAGTGCAGGGGTTCAATAGCGCAGTAAATATTCGAATATATTGCAAAGCAATAAGGAAATAAAATTCATATTCTATTCGAGAGATTCATCACTGCTTAATTTTTGTAAGAATGTATCTTCTTAAAGAAAATATTTATCAAAATTTCACAAATCATGCGGAAATATTCACTTCGATGTTTGAAAGTACGTATTTGTGCAAACCATTATTTTCGAAAATGAACATTACAAAGAACAAGCAAAGAAGTGGGTTTGGTGATGCCCATTTAGAAAATGTTTCAATCTTGGCGTCGTAAAGCTATCCAGCGTGATGCAGCAACAAGACAGTGTCACATTAAATGTCATTGTGATATTTTTTTAATAGGACGACTGAGTTGAGTTCACGAATTGTCGCAGTTTTTGCGCGCTGTTCCGTTTTTAACTTTCGAAAAATATATGCGACCCGTAAAATACTAGCAACCCTGAATTTTGTCCTGCGAGCGACATAAAATTTGCCGACCCCTGGACCGTAGCCGATAGGCAGTCACGGCTTCTTCCACATCTGATTCTATGAATCCAAAAACAAATGGCTGGTTAATTATGGACTGGTGATCGGACTGGAGGCCGTGATAGGGAATTTTTCCGAAGTTTTTTGGTGCAGGTCATCAGGTTGTACGAATGAATGAGATGTACGAAAATCATTATTATAAGTTTGGGAATATTAACTTTGGTTTTATTATTTTAATGTGAAATGGGGTGAATTTAGGAAGTGAAATGCTATAAGGCAAGAGTACACGGCGGTTTTTGTGGAGGTAGAACTCTGGATTCTTTCATTTCCGACCTATTATATGGTAAAAAGGGGGTTTTCAGCCGTGCTACTCTTGCTATTAAAACAACGAAATCACCCTTTCACCAGTAAACGGGGTAATTTAAGATACAATAAAAAACTCGCTGAAGAACACCAAGCTCATCTATCTCATTAAAAAACACTATAAACTATGATTTGTCTTCTTATTTGGTCTGTAATATATTCGTTTCTGACTTTATATTTTTTTGTAGTACAGGGGGGCGATCAAGTTGTATAAACTACTATAGGGGGGCGATGGTCAAAAAAGTTTGGGAACCACTGGTCTAGAGTAGAGTCTAGACTCCAAATTAGTGATGGGAAACTTGTGGTCAGCTATTTCTAAAATCAAGTGTACTTACTATACAACGTGACGACTAATACATATTTCATAAATAAAATAACAGAAGAATATCTTTAGTTACTGCAAATTTGAAAACGATTGTTTCCCTAATCCAGAAAGAGCATTTGTATGTCCCAAGATGTGTTTTCGAAAGGCTAAAATTACTTTCGCACACCGAGAGTAAAATAAATTCGATATTTTTTGCTGAAAAAACGATATTATAGCGACGTGTTTGTTATTTTTCGTTATTCATGAAAAAGATTCTACGAATTTATTCCTTACTAATCTAACTTAGCTTTGTTCTTCATTCAAAATGACGGCATTTAGTATCTCATACAGCTAACTTGATATTAAACTTTATTTTGTTCACAGATTACATTTCAATTGTACCAGAAGGAGGCAACACTTGAAAACAAGAATACGGTTCATCAACAACCCTATATATAAGAAATTGTCATGTATTTTTTTAGCGTGGTTCAAAAAATTTATCTAGAATTAAATTATATCGAATGATTTTTATTCCACTTCAACTTAGTCTAGTCACATCTGCTATCGAGAAATGGAATGACTATATTTTGATTAATATTAATACAAGCATGCAGGCCTGCAATGCATTTACCTACCTAGAAGGTTACTTTCAAATATAGTTTTTGTGTGTCTTAACATAAAAAAAATAACAATATTACGATATTGCATAAAGATAGTATATATATATATATATGTGTGCATATTATCTTTTGCCTGCAGTCCATCTTTGTCATCTAGTTAAGGATAACCAGTAGCATTCCCAAGCACAGGGCGATCAACACCACGACAATGTTGCATTCAATTTTGATGGATTCATTGCACAATTCTGTATCAAAATAGGCAAAACATGGCTTTATTATTTTCTACTTGTAAACTTTCTCGATATCGCCTCTATTGGCAATCGCTTTCTTGAGGTGCCAAAATAGTTTAGCTATTACTACAATTACAATATATATCAGTTGATGTTTAAAATAAGTTCATGCGTCGATAAATGATTGCGTGAGACCACTCAGTGGTTCACAGTCGCAGAGATGTATCATCATATCGTCTGTAATTAAAATCTGTGTATTTGGATAAAATCAGATTACGCCATTAGAAGGCTGATATTTTCAGAATGGCGTTGAATTAAATTAAAAACACTTTCTAAGAGCTAGAGCAAAATCAAATGTTCAGTAAATCAGGATATTTTGGAAATACGTTGTTAAGATATTTTATGCCTATTGCCGACGGCATTCATTGCACAATATACTTGTATATGGAAATCTGTTTCAAAAATAAAAGTCAACTTGAACAAATTTAATGTCGGTATCGGCTTATTTTAATGACCCGACTTCATCAGCCTATTGATATTTTTTTAAACGTCATACCAGTGCATCTGTACATGAGTGACTGTGACGTGTTAACAATATGTGACGATTCATTTACCTGATTGGCAGTAGCAATATTCTCCAGTGCCGATAGATTGATATCGTTCTTCACAAAATTTGCCTGTTGACCAACCACATCCTCGAACCACCTTTCCTGAGTAAGGAAATAAAAATGAGTGAACGAAAAACCGAGGCACTCTAAAGTGGAACTACGCACAGGTATATTATGCGAGTAGGTTGTGAAAGTTTATTGTTTCTGTGAATATTTTCAACACTAATATTATTATTGAGCGAATTGAAAACAAACAGAATACTATTCTGTATCCTGGGAATTTTGTAACTTTAACATTGTCTGGCCATTTACATACATACATAAAGAAAGACATTGCTCTTGCCTGTTGACCAACCACATCCTCGAACCACCTTTCCTGAGTAAGGAAATAAAAATGAGTGAACGAAAAACCGAGGCACTCTAAAGTGGAACTACGCACAGGTATATTATGCGAGTAGGTTGTGAAAGTTTATTGTTTCTGTGAATATTTTCAACACTAATATTATTATTGAGCGAATTGAAAACAAACAGAATACTATTCTGTATCCTGGGAATTTTGTAACTTTAACATTGTCTGGCCATTTACATACATACATAAAGAAAGACATTGCTCGAGCTAAAAAAATTTAAATATTGAGTAATATTCTAATGCTGTGGTGAGGCAAATGACAATCAAAGGTTTCGTATAGTTGTCAAGCTGAAACACAATCCACAATCATTTAAATAAGTTGGCACTGCATGTAAAAATCTAGTAGCATGTAAAAAATAGTAAGATTGGGTGATCGTTTTTGGCCTAGCTTTATCTTGAAAATTCCCAATTGCATGTTCTAAAATCATTAGGAATTACTCGTTCACGTTGAACGCAAGCGCAAATGCTCAGAGCATTTGAAATCGTAATGTCAGCGCTTTCCGTGATTTCCACGGTATGTTTCACTATTCGCAAAATTATTTAATTTCATCTATTTCGAACTTCTGTTTGACAGAAATCCTTTGTCCTAACACTCCGAAACCTCTATAATTATATATATAAGATCAGTGAACTTCAATCTCCTGTATCAATCCACATTGTCGTGCATCAAAGTTACGAGTTCGAGTTAAGTTCTTTATTGGTTATTGATTGCTGTGTAATTTTATTTATCATCGCATGTTGAAAATCTTGGAGCCCTTCAAACTAGAGATGTACCAAAATCTTTTTTCTCGATACCAATGAAAAAGCGCCGATAGCAATAAGTTGGTATGTCAATTTGTCGATATATATTACCGATATACGATATACATTTAAAGCAATCATTATTTCAACTAAAAAACGGACATCTCAGGACACGAGAACATGCGACGTCAAATACGAATTTGTGATTCAAATGCGTAAATGGTGTTTCACTTGACTCACTAAAAACGGTTTATTGAAAAAAATGAAATTAATTGCATCGTAAATTGCTCTCTAACTTTGTAGTTAAGCAAACATGCTCAGCAACTTCATAACGAATTTTATGGTAGTCGTTGTACACAGAAGTTATAGGAATCGCGTTCACGATTAAAAGCTCTGGCTGGCCACTATACATGGTGAAAAGTATATGATATATGTTCATTCATTTAAAACAGCAATCACTCACTATACAAACTGCGAAAAGTTCAATTAATAAGGCAGTAAATACCTCCGATCCATTAGTTTCCAATATCCTTATACTAACTTATACTTCAAAACATTCCAAATGAGATCAAGGAGCGATATCTACAAAATGACCGACTTTGCTGATAAAAATACATCTCTACTTTGAACATACTCTACATTCGGAATTGAGAAAATTCTGATCCCTTCAAAATGTAGTAGAATCTAGCCTTACCTTGGTTACTAGTTTATTTTTAGTTATGTTAGGAGGGAGTTTAAGAAACTATTCGTAATAAAGTAACCATGTACAAGTTGTTTATTATAGCGTTATGTTTTATTTTTAGAGAACTAATCCTAAATGTAAGATTCAGTGTGCTGCTGTGAACAATACTACAAGAACACATTTACCTTCCTGAAATATTGCTAGTAACAGCAAGTATGTGATCGCGATTCTGCTCATTTTGATAACTTCTACTAGAGTTTATATCCGATGCAGTACTAAAAACTAGAAATATATATAAGAAAGTATAAAGTTATTAAAGTTACAATAATGAATGGATACAAGATAACTAAACTCAATTTAAATGAGTTTTAAAACATTTTAAAACCTAGTGGTTTATTCGTGAACATTTTCAGTTTTCAACCCTAAAAGTAGAAATATTTGCGTATTACCAATCAGTTTTATATATATATATATATTTAGTAAAAAATTAAGTAATTCCATAAATCGCAATAAACCACCATCTTCATTGAACGCCTAAAACTATTTATTTCCCAAATAGATTCGTTGACTATAAATACAGTACTGCTCGACGAGTATATATATATATATTACATAAAATTATGAGGTATTTTACATAAATGCCAGGTATGTTTTGATAATGACTAAGTTATCGGAAGTCGTCTGAATTTTTTTGTATTCATGCCCCTGCACGTGCTTATTTTGTTGTAGAAAGAATTCTAAACAACAGACACCCAAACCACTAATGCGATTTTACCGGGCATAGGAAGTATTTTAAATAAATAAATAGTAGTAGTAGTAATATTCATTTATCACCATGTGAAATTAAAGATACATTTACAAACAGAGGTAAAACATTGTTATGTACGTTGCACGGGTGAATGGAGTCACAGAAAGTCTTACGAGGTCATCTAACTGAACTGGTTATCACCCTATGACGTATTGCTGCTATTAAGATGAAAAATATATGAACAATAAAAAAGCTACATTGGTCCATCGTTTATGGGTGGGGCATTGTTTTATATTTCGAATGTTGTGAGTTCAAAGATTGGCAATGTCTACTATTAATGGTGAGTTCCTCAAAATGAAAATTGCAAATGGAAAATTCCAGACCTACATACATGTCGCAATCGATTCTCGCTGGCTAAGGTTAATCTTCGCCTCATAGTGCTTTATTGGCATGGTATAAATACTTGTGATCACAAGATTATTAATTAGTTTATTTGGTAATTTTATATAAGTTTGTATGTAATTATTGTTGTTTTACATGATCAGCTTTTGAAAATTTTTAATTCAATTCAAAAACTGTTACACATTGTTATTCTAAATGATACACCTCGTTAACCTCGACGCTATACCTCGTTAATCCCAACGCTGCACCTCTCTAACCTCTCCACTAAACCTCGATAATCTTAACGTTAACCTCATCATTAACCTCAGCTAGACAACATTAAAACTCATCCAACATATAGAATATTGAATTGCAATATATCAAATTTCATTGTACACTTGTACAGCATTTTTCATATTTGTGGCATTGGAGCATACACGTTTTGAATAGTATTCCATGCACGTTTTGAATAGTATTCCAAGAATCAAAGAACAGCCATATATTTTAGTAACCCCCTTATGCAACAACTGTAATTGCCAGGATACATAAAATAGGTTTTACAAATGTTACAAGGCTTTTGTTCGAATTGGGCACAAATATTGACAAAAATTATTATTATACGAGGGTAAGTCAAGATTTGGGCAAAATAATTTTTTATATTACCCGCAAGGTATAAATGATAGAGCATAGATCGGCATAACACACTAATACTACAAGCACTAATATAATAACAACACGGGGTCTCTTTTTTTTTATCTATTAAAAGCCATCGTGAATGTTGTGTATTTACGTCATAGCTTGTTACGGTAAGGTAAGGTAAAGGGTTTAATGGCGTCTTTGACAACTCGGTCTTTTACGCCAATTTTCAAAAGGAGTAGTCAGAATGATACAATAAAAACATGTTTACAACTCTCGTTTGGTGGATATAGCAAATTTAATAATTATTGGAATCAAATTAGGAACATTGAAAATACAAATAATTTCCCAGGGTACATTCATTTTTGCTGCTTCACGTCTTAATTCGCATCGTAAATTATTATACTTGGGACAATATAAAATAAAATGGGAAACAGTTTCATTTGTGTCACATCGACTACATTGC